AGCAGCAGATGGGCGATTTCTTTCTCCCTGTATCTCCCTCTCTTTCTATATAACACTGCCTTTCAAACAAACAAATCCTTATGAAATAAACAGATAAAGTGGGCATGCTGGTGAGGAAAGGGAAACCTTTTTGCGCAAAGGGCTCTACGGAAGCTGACACAATCCCAAACCATAGCACAGAGGTCTTGGGAGGGACTTCCTATAGGCCAGAGAGGGGCATGCAGGTCGCAAGGCCTTGAATCAGAGGCTGGCACTGAATTTCTTAACTTCGGAGTAGAGGAACAAAAAGAATTGCCCATAGATCTTTGTTTTATGTAAGACTTAATTTAATATTTATTTTGAGAGGCAGACTTACAGAGATAGATAGGAAGGGACACAGAATGAGAATCTCCCATCCGCTGGTTTATTCCCCAAACAACTACAATGGCCATGGCTAGGTCAGGCCAAAATCAAGAACCAAGAGCTTCATCCAGATCTCCCACAGGGGTGCAGGAACCCAGACATGTGGGTCATCATCTGCTTGCTGGGCACATCAGCTGGAGTTGTAGGGTGCTGGCATCGCAGGCTGCAACTCCACCTCCTAGATCACAATCCTGGCCCCATTTCTCACGGATTCTTCCAGCAAGCTTCTTTGTTTTCTGTTTGTTTTCTTTTTAAATATTTATTTTATTTTTATTGAAAAGTCAGAGTTTACAGAAAGAAGGAGAGACAGACAGAAAGATACTCCATCCACTGGTTCACTCCCCAGGTAGCCACAATGGCCAAAGCTGAGCTGATCCAAAGCCAGGAGCCAGAAACTTCTTCTGTGTTTCCTCCATGGGTGCAGGGTCCCAAGGCTTTGGGCTGTCCTCCACTGCTTTCCCAGGACACAAGCAGGGAGCTGAATGGGAAGTGGAGCAGCTGGGATACGAACCAGCATGCATTTGGGATCCCAGCGCATACAAGGTGAGGATTTTAGCCACTACGCTACCACACCCAGCAAGCTTCTTTGGATAGCCTGGAGTTGATACAACTGATTTCTCTGGTCCTCAATCCATTAAAAAGTACCTTCTCAGAAAAAGGCATTGAGGTGCAGTGGCAAGTCTGAGGGCTGGTTCTGATCCAGCTTCCTGCTAATGGGTGCAGGAAGGCAGTGGATGATGGTTAAGGTTCCTGGGTCCCTGCCATCCACAAGGTATACCCACATTGAGTTCCTAGCTTTGTCCTGCCCCTACCCTGCCTGTTGCAAACATTTGGGGAGTAAACCAATGGCGGGAAGAGTGTGCGCACTCTCTCTTTTCTTCAAATAAAAAAATAAATTTTGAAAAAAAAAATACCCTTTCTATCTTTTGTGCTTTGTGTGTGCTCACACCTAGGTCATTTTAGATGTGGACACAGAACTTGCTTAACCTGCTCTCTATCAGACCTAAGCCTTATAATTAACACAAGGAAAGTAACTGATAAAAAGCCACCCGCCCTGCCCTCTGGGAAACATTTCCCTTTCCTCTCTGTTCCTCTCCCCCTCCCTTTAGTGAGGATGAGAAAAGGGGACACATTAAACCAGAAACCTCCAGAAAGCTCCAGTTTCCTCCTAACCTGAGACTATGCCTGATTCTAGGAAACCTCCTGGAATCAGGGGGGCCTGGGGAAAGAGCTGGGGAGGGAGGCCCAAGAGATGAACTGAGACGCATTAACATTGCTCAAGTAAAAAAAGCTTCGTCACCCACATGGTGACGCCCCTGATTCAGACAGAATTCATGCTAGCCACATCTTGTTGACACACTATTTAAAATCAGTCGCAGACCCCGCCCCACCGCTGACACACACTCAGGTGACCTGCAAGCAGAGGTCAGAGCTTGGTAAAGTTACTAAGGCTTGAAGGAAAGCAGGGCTTGCTTCTTACCTTTTCTATACCGTGCTAAAAGAACAATCAATAATGAAGTGGGGGCTGGGCAGCCAGCGAAGGCAGCAGGCCAAGCCAGCACAAAGCAGGTGTGGACAGCCAAGAGCTGTGGGGCAGGGTTTCTCAGGAGATATGAACAGGGCAGAGCTAGGGGGGGCTCAGACTCAGGAGACAGGGTCTGAAGAGGCAGTGGAGGGTTCACACCGACAGGGTAGACTCCCCGCGTGGAGCACTTGGGTGTGGAAAAGGCCAACGGGGACAGGTACTGACATCCTTGTCCCCTCCTGTCTCAGCTCCCTCCAATCCTACATCAGCTCTCCACTTGGAATTCCATTAAGGTAATTATCCCACCAGTGAGGGAGTTAAAACAGCCCCGACCCCTCCCTAGGCAGTGGCAGGTCAACAGGCAATATTTAGAAGCATTTAGAACAGGTATATAGCTTCAAGAAGACACCCCTTCACTTTCTGACTTTCAAGAACAACAACAACAAAAACAGAAGGCATTAGTTCACCTACCCCAGAACTGTCCCCATCTCTCAATCAGTCCCCGATTGTCCCAAATCTTCCCCTAAGCGGAGTGTAGCACTTTGACTAAGTCTAAGATACTTGCCTACAGCAGACTGGGGGTGAGGAGGGGTCTGAGACAGCATCTCTCTGACACACTCTTGGGGCCTCAGCTCCCCTGGTCAACCCCAACTTATAGACAGCAGAAATAGGGGTGAGGGCAACAGCCAGGTGTCATCTCTCCCCGGGGTTGGGGAGCGGAGAGGAAGGGAGCCCAGGGTGAGCAAAGTTTTTACCTTCCATGCGAGCAGGAAGGCGTAGCTGTGGCCTTGGGACTGAGGGAGGTGGGTACCAGCAGGGGTGCCGCCGACGCTCGCTGCCTCCCGGCTGTCAGCGCCCGAGCGATCTAGGTTTACTCAGGTTCAGGAGCGCGCGCGCGCAGTGCTGGCTGGGTCACGGCCACTTCCGGACTCCCGCCCAGGACAAGGGGGCACTAGGAGGCGGGCGCTGGCCGAGCGCACAGCCCTGCGGCTCCCGAGCCGCTGGAGTCCTGGGATCGCCAGTCTCAGGGCGTGCACACCGGGCTCGGGCTACACGCTGCTTTTAAAGGAAGTTTGTGGTTTTCCTTTTTTTTTTTTTTCCTTTCTCGCCTTTTCCCCAACGGGACAAAGAACAATTAGTCAAGGACAAAGCTCCCCAGAGCAGGAGGGGTCTGCCCTGCACTGGAGGGTTTCTGCAGGGCTTTCTAACTCTGGTCAGCAGCTGGATGGTCAGCAGCCAGGGAGAGAAAAACAACAGACCCTTTCTCTGCGCTCCGCCTGCCGCTGCAGCGGCCGAAGCGCTTACGCCTCTGGTGAGAAAGAAAGCAAGGGTCCTGGCCGAACGGGGGAGGACAGGGCTGGACAGCAGCCGTCAACCCGACTTTCCTCTCCCGGGCGGCTCCGGGGTCCACCGAGGCAGAGCTACAGATACAATTGCACGTTGATTCAGTTAATGCAAAACAACCCAAACCGCCCAGACCACCAAAAACCCTTCTTTCCTGCTGGAGAACTCAGAGGGCTTCCTTCCCTCCTCAGGTCCCCGTGTTGTCTGCACAGGACTCGGGTCTGGGCTGTGCACCTGGGAGGACCCAGAGTGGGCAGAGAACTGAGGACGGTGATGCCAGAGAGCCGTCACCCCAACTCCTTGGGTTTTGTCTCCATCCTTCTCGATTTCCAGTTTGGGGAGCAAGGGAAAGCCAGGGTGAAACTGGCAGTAAGAAATAAAGGGGGGAACATTTGATAACAAGGGTCTGTTTATTTGGAGCTGGGGTTTCCCAAGTGGCAGTTGAGTGGAATCCAGCTATGTTCTTTTGTTTTGTTAAGATTTTTTTTTTAATTGGAAAGTCAGATTTTTTAAAAAAGATTTATTTTTATTATTATTTTTTCATTGGAAAGGCGGATATACAGAGAGAGGAGAGACAGAGAGGAAGATCTTCCGTCCGATGATTCACTCCCCAAGTGAGCGCAACGGGCCGATACTATGCCGATCCTAAGCCAGGAGCCTCTTCTGGGTCTCCCACGCGGGTGCAGGTTCCCAAAGCTTTTGGGCCTCGACTGCTTTCCCAGGCCACAGGCAGGGAGCTGGAAGGGAACCGGGGCCCATATGGGATCCCGGGCGTGCTAGGCGAGGACCTTTAACCACTTGCGCCACCGCGCCGGGCCCGAAAGTCAGATTAAAAAAAAAAAAAAGATTTATTTTATTTTTATTGGAAAGGCGGATATACAGAGAGGAGGAGAGACAAAAAGATCCTCTATCCGATGATTCACTCCTCAAGTGACCCCTCAAAGGCCAGAGCTGAGCTGATCCGAAGCCAGGAGCCAGGAGCTTCCCCTGGGTCTCACAAAAGTCAGATTAACAGCAAGAAAGGCTGGAGCGGAGTCAGTCCTAATCCAGGAGTGGAGAATGGGTTCAGGGTCCCAAGACTTTGGATTGTCCTCCACTGCTGGATGGGAAGTTGAGGAGCAGGGATACGAACCAGCGCCCATATGGGATCCCGCCTGCAAGGCCAGGGCTTTAACCATCAGGGTACCGAGCCGGGCTCTTTAGCTACATTCTGAAGGGTCCTCCAAAACCCACTTTACACGGGATGGAACTTCAAGCCTCCCCGAAGTTGCAAAGAGCAGTTGGGACCATGGGAGAGGCAGGGAGCCAAGAGCCACTGTCCCACAGACCGAGAAGGAAGAAGTAGAAGGCGGGTTTGAAGAAGAGGGTTCAAAAACAACCACAAAGTCAGCGGCAATGACTCCGTCTAAAACGGTAGAATTTGAGAGGGAGAAGCGCCGTTTCGTTCAAGCTGTCAGATCGCTGGGTGTAGTAGGTGAAGAGCTGTTCCACTGAGCCTGGTCGGAGAAAGTTCAGATTCCACACAGACGCATTTGTGTGTCAAAAGAACGGTCCTCTCAGAAAATTCTCCACCCAAATGTTAGGGACTTCTCGGAGCTTCTGGACTACGTTTCCCAGGATGCTCTGGGCCACGCCCCGCCCCGATCCGCCGGACTAACGTCCCATGAGTCTCTGGGCGCAGTACTCCGCCTCCACTGCTGGGGGCGGGGCGACGTCGGACTCCGGGAGTGCCCGGTTACGCACTTCCTCCCGGGGTCGGAGGCCGGATCGCCGTGTGGCGGGTTCGAGTCCTGCCTCCTGACACTCCTCCTGCCCGAGTCCTGGGTGGGGTGCCTTCACCTGGCATCCTCTCCTCCACGAGGGACGACGGCATACCTTGGGTCTCACCATGGAGGACTACCTGCAGGGTTGTCGAGCCGCTCTGCAGGTAACGGATGCATGTCTGTGACTAAGGACTGGAGCATGGGGTCCAAGAAGGACGAAAACGTGGGATCAGAGGAGCCCCCGCGGTCCGTGTGGAGAGAACACCTCGTTGTGGGGAAAGGGCTTGGCGTGTGTTCGGGCTTGGGGAGCGAGGAGCGGGCGTGAGAATGCCGCTGGGTCTCCCCGCTTTTGCCCCCCGCGTTTGGGGATCTGTCCGAGAGCCGGGACGCGTCGTCTAGGGGCTGGGTTCAGCTGGGTTCAGTCTGTCGCCTGAGTCTGTCCTGTTAAGGACGGGGCCCTGCCGCTGCCAGCCTCGCCCGCTTGTGTATTCATTCCTTTCTCCCCGCCCCTCTGAAATCTCCGCTCACCGGGCCTGCCCTGGCGCCCTGGCCTGCAGGTGAACCGGGGTGGACGGAACCCGTGTCCACCGCGGATTCTCTCGGGCGGGTCCAGCTCATTCTGATTGGAGGCGGTCACGATGTTTTACTTGAAGTCCATATTTGTAGATCAGGCATACCAAGTACATCAGGCACATCTTTGACCCACAACCTGCAATTCTTTGCGCTTGGCTCTGAGTGCGCACAAAAGACATTAAAACGCCGGGGTCTGGAAGTGATAAGCAGTTTGTCTGAAACCCAAACGGAAGCCTGACTCCGGGGAGCTTTGTGTTATCTTTGGTTCCCTGGGCCAGCTGGACTAACCCACCCATGCTGACTGGTCATGCAGCTTCAGGCTGTTGTATCCAGTTAGCAGCAAGAAGTTCAGGAGAGAGAGAAAAAGAGAGATTCCACAGGGTCCCCTGGCCCGCATACTTGGCGTTGTATTGCCCCTGAGGGTACCCCAACAGATGGCTGGCTACCTTAAATAGAGATTCTTTACACTACAAATGCCGCTCAACCCTAGCTGCTTGTCTTTAAACAAATGCTAACAGTCAACCCAGTTGGTGCTGCAACTAGGGAATGGGAGTGGCGTTCACTTTCAATGCCAGTGATACCAAGTTTTTCTTTATGAGAAAAAAAACAAACAAACAAAAAAACAAATTTGGGGGAAGGTTGTGATAATGTTTGGGGCATCTGGAGCCAGTTCATTCTAGCTTCCTCTGGGAGCTCCCTGAAGGACTACGGCAGTTTTTGTATCTCCTCAGCAGCTGAGTCCCCGCATTTGGCCTGAGACTTCACCCCAGAGCCATTCCTGGCCCAGATCTGCTGACGGGAATCTGCCCTCCACAGCGCCCCCCTGAGGAATCATAATATATTTCCCACACCCGTGGGAAGCTGGAAAACACATTTTTCCAGTATTTCCCTTGGCTCCATTCTTCCCCGACAAGGAGCCACATCTAGCTCCTCCCTCCTGATAAAACTCATGGACATGGAAAGGTGAGAATTTGCCCTGGAGCTCTTCTCATAACAGCGGTGATGCCAGGGCCAAGAGAAAGGAACTCATTAGATTCCCTAAGTGTTAGCAGGTACATTAATGGCAGAACCCACCAATGAATGCCAGCCTACACATTATATTTAAAAAGTGGAGAGGTTGAAGAACAACAACAGCAAAAGTAAGGTATGAAATGAAGAAGAAAAAGATGTTTTTTTCTTCCCCTTGTTTCCATCTGTTAGATTTCTGCTGTGAAGAGCAACATTAATGTAGACAGATGCCGGATTAAGCTTGAAAACTTGAGAGAATAGAGAATGCTTGGCTTTTGCATGGATAGAGACAGCTGATATTTCAGCCAAGTCTCCAATTGATACCATATTTTTAGTATATAATACCAGGGACATTTTCTTTTAGCTTTTGTCTCAGTGGCTTTAGAATGTTCCATGTCTAAGAAACGCCAGAGATGGGCATTTGGCCTGTCAGTTTATCTTTTTTTTTTTTTTAATTGCAAAGGCAGATATACAGAGAGGAGGAGAGAGACAGAAAGATCTTCTGTCTGATGATTCACTCCCCAAGTGACCGCAAAGGTCGGTGCTACACCAATCTGAAGCGAGAAGCCAGGAGCCAGGACATTCTTCCAGGTCTCTCACACAGGTGCAGGGTCCCAAGGCTTTGGGCCGTGCTCAACTGCTTTCCCGGGCCGCAAGCAGGGAGCTAGATGGGACGTGGAGCTGCTGGGATTAGAACCGGCACCCATATGGGATCCTGGCATGTTCAAGGACAGTACTCTAGCCACTAGGCCACGTCGCTGAGCCCCATTTAATCTTACCAGTTAAGGGGACAGCATTGTGGCATAATGGGTAAAAGCGACCGTATGTGATACCGGCATTATGTATAGGTGCTGTTCGAGTTCCAGCTGCCTCAGTTCCTATCCAGCTCCCTGCTAATGGCAGGGAAAAAGCAGCAGAAAAAGGGCCCAAGTCCTTGAGCCTCTGCTACCCAAGTGGGAGACCCGATGAAACTGCTGGTTCTTGCCTTTGGCTTGACACAGACAGCCCTGGCTGTTGGAGCCATTTAGGGCACTGAACCAGAAGATGGAAGATTTCTCTGTCTCTCCCTCTCAATGTGTAATTCTTTGAAATAAATAAGCAAATAACTCCTAGGAAAAAATGCTATCCAATGTGGGAGCAACCCATGCCCATGTTGGAGTGTCTGAGTTAGGTGATCATGCCAGGCTCCTGGAAAGTACTGGTCACGGCTCAGGTAGGTGGGTTCTTGCCACCCACGTGGGAGACCTGCACTGCCTTCCTGCATCCCAGCTTCAGCTCCAGCTGGGACCTTGGTGCACACGTGGAGGTGAACTGCTGAATCTTTGCCTTCAAGGCAAAAAAATGCAGCTTTGAAAAAAATAAAGAAATCCTGTTTCTCCCAGTATCCTATGCATGGTGACTCACATTTCCCTTCTGGGAGAGACCTCCACTCCAGGGTGGGGCAACGATCCATGTAGGTGTACGTGGGGCAGGAGCCTTTGGGGAAGGGACAGTGTCCTGTCCCCAGCAGGAGGCAGGAACTCAGAAATGAGCTGTCCCTTATCTGTGTGAGGAGGGCCTGTGGCTGTCCAGCTCTTGGTCAATTTTTTTTCGCTGCTCTCATTAACTTTTTTTTTTTTTTTTTTACTAGGAGGTCCTTGTCTCTCTTTTTTTGGAAATTCAGATTTACATAGAGAGAGGTAAGGCAGAGAGAAAGATCTTCCATCTGCTGGTTCACTCCCCAGGTGGCTGCAATGGCCAGAGCTGAGCTGATCCAAAGCCAGGAGCTTCTTCTGGGTCTGCTACGTTGGGTACAGGATCCCAAGGCTTTGGGCTATCCTTGACTGCTTCCCCACACCACACTCAGGGAGCCAGATGGGAAGTAAGGCAACCAGGACACAAACCAGCACCCACATGGGATCCCAGCACGTGCAAGGTAAGGATTTTAGCCACTAGGCCTTCGCGCCAGGCCCTCATGAACTATTTTTGAAGAGTCCCTATTCATGCCCTATTCAGCTTCAGAAAGAGTTTTACTTTGCCAGCACTAGAATCGTTCTCTGTCCCCATGGAGCTAAAAAAGAAAACATTAGGATAAGACTCATTTCAATTTAGGTGGTTTAGTTTGTTAGTTTTAAGAGAAAGCATTTATATTTACTTGTGGCTGTCCGGGTGAATTTCTTCCAGCGTGTTTCCTCACGCTGCTAACAATGGGTGCATTTTCCCCCAGCCCTTCCTCCAGCGATTGGTCAACTGAGGCTGTGGATTGGTGTTTTCAGTCCGTGGCAATGGATTGGTTAGCGTTGTGCAGTTTTTTGCTAAATGAAGAGGAACACTATGTCATAATTTGGGCAGCTGTCCATCCAGGATGCCTAGGATAATGCTTATCTTCTCCAATCCAGTCATTAATTGGGACCATTATTGATTCTCAGAAGTGTTCCAGTTTGAACACAAAGTCACCCACCTTGGAAGCTGCTGAGGGTTAGGACCTAGGCAGCTGTGGAAAGCTAGTGAGCTCCAGGGCTGGCGCCATCAATTGGCTAGTCTTGCGTGCAAGCTTCAGCATCCCATATGGGTACTGGTTTATGTCCCAGCTGCTCCACTTTCCATCCAGCTCCCTGCTTGTGGCCTGGAAAAGTAGTAGAAGACGACCCAAAGCCTTAGGACACTGCACCCATGTAGGAGACCTGGAAGAAGCTCCTGGCTCCTGGCTGTTGTAGCCGTTTTGTGGGGTGAACCAGCAGATGGAAAATCTTTCTGTCCTTCCCTCTGTAAATCTGCCTTTACAATAAAGATAAATAAATCTTCAAAAAACAAACAAAAAAGTAGCAGCTGGTGGGCTCCTTTAGGTAGAAGTGTCTATCATCAAGAGCTCAAGTGCTACCGGAGCAAGCAGGCTTCAGGGAAGGGGACAGAGGGCTCTCGCGTGCGCTCTCCTCCAAACCGCACCATGACATCGTGCGATTTGTTAGTGTTAGCTTCCTTTTTTTAAAGATTTATTTATTTTTATTGGAAAGTCAGATACACAGAGAGGAAGAGCTTCCGTCCGATGATTCACTCCCCAAGTGACCACAACAGTCAGTGCTGTACTGATCCAAAACCAGGAGCCAGGAACCTCCTCCAGATCTCCCACGTGGGTTCAGGATTCCAAGGCCTTGGGCTGTCCTTGACTGCTTTCCCAGGCCACAGGAAGGGAGCTGGATGGGAGGTGGAGCTACCAGGATTAGAACAAGCACCTATATGGGATCCCAGTGCGTTCAGGACGAGGACTTTAGCCTCTAGGCCATGCCGCCAGGCCCAGCTCCTTTGTTATAATGAAGAAAAGGAGGCTTAGGGAAGCCCAGACGCCCCGATCACCCACCCCCCAAGCTTATGATCTTTTCCAGTGGACGTTCTGCTGCCGCCTTCAGACCAAAAGGAACAAGCAGTGCAGCGGGCAGAGCTGGGAATGTACACAGCATGGTGTGGGGGTGGTGACCAGCCGGTCAGGCTGGGCTAAGTGGGTACCGAGCCGGGAGAAGAATGCCACCAGCTCTGTGCGTCGCTCCTGGTTCCAAGGCCGTCGGCAAGTCTCAGAGAAGTCCTTTCTGTATTCATTCCCCTTGCTGGCTGGACGGCTGGGTTTGGCACAAGGCGTACCTTGTTCGTCGTCCTCTGGAGCGCAGTGCTGCTCGCTTTGTCATCATGGGTTGTCTCTGGTGCCAGCTTTCAGCTTTCCGCTCCTCCGCTCTGCTGCCACAAGCACACTGATCCTGACTCAGCTTTATCTCCTGCTCTCTGTAAATGTGCCTTTCCACACGTGTGATGATGACGTGAGGTATTCTTCCAATATTTTTACATGTATTAACTAGCCATTTAATCCTCAACATGACCCATTGAGGCAGACACTTTAAACACTGTATTTATTTGCTCTTACTCATCTGAAAGGCAGAGACAGAAAGGCCGACGTCGGGTGATTTGCTACTTCACTCCCCAAAAACCAGGAGCTGAGAACTCCATCCAGGTCTCTTGCCTGGGTGTCAGTGTAGGAGACCCGACTACTAGATCCTTCACCTGCTCTCTCCCAAAAGCTGTGTCGGCAGAAAGCTGGAATTAGGACCAGAGCCAACACTCAAACCCAGGCATATCCACAAAGGGACTGAGTTTTCTCATGTGGCATCTTAACAGTCATGACACGTACCACCCTGAGGTGGGTACCTTTAAGAATTATTTCAGGCCCAGCACCATGGCTCAGTGGCTAAATCCTTGCCTTGTAGGCACGCAGGATCCCATGTGGACGCTGTTTTGTGTCCTGGCTGCTCCACTTCCCATTGGAATAATATTTGGCATCAGCAATATATATTTAAAAAACCAAAAACCCTATCTTTGCTCTTATAGGCACTGTAGTATTTTAAAATATGATCGCTAGGGAGCTAGAGTTAAGAGGAACAAAGTTAGTAACAGCAGATATCCATTCCTCCCTCAGCATGTTTATCAGCAGCTGAGCCTTTCAGAAATAAAAGTTCCAGCAGTAGCAGCTGTTCTTGAATCGGTCTGACCCTGCTGGAGAAAGCGTCTGTTCTCGGGCCTTGAGAGGAGAGGTGGGGGGTGTCTGTGGTTATCATTAGGCCTTCTCAGGGTGGCGGACATTCCCCAAACAACTAAAGGACTCAATCTATTTTCTAGCCTCTTTGCCTGTTTTCCTGATTTACTTATTACATATATATATATATAACTTGAATATACTTGAATATATACTTATTACATTTATATATATAAAACTTGAAAGGCAGAATTATAAAAAGAAAGAGATCTTCCATCTACTGCTTCCCAAATGACCATAGCGGCAATGGTTGGTCCAGGCACAAGCCAGGAGCCAGAAGCTTCTTCTAGGTCTCCCATATGGGTGCAGGGACCAGGCCTTGGGCCATCCTCTACTGCTTTCCCAGGCACATTAGCAGGCAACTGGATCGGAAGTGGAGGAGCCAGGACGCCAGTTAGTGCTCATGAGGGATGTTGGTATTTCAGGTAGTAGTCCAACCTATTGTGCCACCATACCGGCCATTATTTTCATGACTCTGAAGCATAAGAATTCTTCTCCCTGTTTTGTAAATGGGGATGGAAAAGAAAAGCTAGCAGGTGTGATATGCCTGGCATAAACCCTGCTCAAATGTGCTACTTTTGATTCTTTTTTCTTTTTTTTTTTTTTTTAAGATTTATTTATTTTTATTGGAAAAGCAGATATACACAGAGGAGGAGAGACAGGAAGATCTCCCGTCCAATGATTCATTCCCCAAGTGACCACAACAGCTGGAGCTGAGCCAATCTGAAGCCAGGAGCCAGGAGACTTCCAGGTCTCCCACGCGGGTGCAGGGCCCCAAAGCTTTGGGCCATCCTCGACTGCTTTCCCGGGCCACAGGAAGGGAGCTGGATGGGAAGAGGGGCTGCCGGGATTAGAACCGGTGCCCATATGGGATCCCGGTGCGTTCAAGGCAAGGACTTTAGCCACTAGGCCACACCACTGGGCCCTAAATCTGAGGTTTTTTCACTCCTGTAAGTTAGCATGTGATAGAAAGGAAATAACACTTTCACACTGGATGTATATGGAATGGTAACGCTTAGCAGAGGGGCTGGTGCTGTGGTGTAGCAGTTTCAGCTGCCACCTGCAGCACTGGCATCCCTATGGGTACTGGTTCTAGTCCCACTGCTCCGCTTCTGATCCAGCTCCCTGCTAATGTTCCTGGAGAGCAGTGGGGGATGGCCCATGTGCTTGGACGCCTGCACCTACATGAGGGATGCAGAAGAATCTTTGGACTGGCCATTTGGGGAGTGAACCAGTGGATGAAAGATCTTTCTCTCTCTCTCTCTCTCTCTCTGCAACTCTGCTTTTCAAAGAAATCTTTAAAACAAAACAAAGCTAAAACACCGTGGCTGAAACACCTGGTCCTTCACTGCCAGTATCCTAACAAGCTGATCTGAGCCACCTCGTCCGTGAAGATCAAGGAGAGAGTGGGAAGCACTACTTGAGCATCAGATCATGACGCTTTTGTTGGTTTCCCCTTCTCTTCCAGGAGTCCCGACCTCTCCATGTTGTGCTGGGAAATGAAGCCTGTGACTTGGACTCCATGGTGTCCGCTCTCACCCTGGCTTTCTACCTGGCAAAGGTAAGTATCTGGGAACCTGTGTGCCTTAGAATGAAATGATTCGGATTCCAGGCCCAGCCCCGCTGCTTAGCAGCCTTTAGCCATGGGTAAGTAAATCCCACTAACTTTCCTAAGCCTCATGTCAGCATCTATCAAATCGGAAATGATAACATTTCGCAATGTGGTCCCAGGAGGGCAAAAAGGGGAATGAATCCCGAGGGACCTACAAGCCGTTAAGCAATATTTAGACAGTAGGCTATGATTGTGTTCCTTATGGGTATCAGTTATATCGTGTGCATTGCTCTTGTGCAGGTTAGTTTCTCAGAAGTACAAATCCTTTTCCTGGGTTGGTTTTTTATTTTTTCCCCACTGAAGTACCTTGTTGAGCTTCACATTATTGCTAAGGTGGAGAAAGGGGAACCAAAGTTACCCCTTTCGTTTTACAGATTGGGTAAGTGTGACTTGGAGCCAGATGGTGCCCAATCCAGGATCTCCTTTCCTTCCGTTTCCATCGTCTTGTTACCAACATGACCTGTCATCGCGATTACTTGTTTTGACTTTTCTGTGCAGACATCGGAAGCCGAGGAAATCTTTGTACCAGTTTTAAACATAAAACGTTCTGAGCTCCCTCTGCGAGGGGACAACGTCTTCTTCCTTCAGAAGGTCCACATTCCAGAGACTCTGCTGATTTTCCGGGATGAGATTGATCTCCATGCATTGCACCAGGCTGGCCAACTCACTCTCATCCTTGTCGACCATCATGTCCTACCCAAGTAAGCAGAAGGGAGTGAAACAGATACGTACCATGCACCGCAGCGGGCTCTGAAGAGTGAAATAGAAAGAGAAGTAACAGGGTTTAAGTCTTAAAATTTATTTTTATTGGAAAGTCAGATATATAAAAAGGAGAGATAGAAAGATCTTCTGCCAGCTGATTCACTCCCCAGGTGTCCACAATGTTTGAAACTGAGCCGATCTGAAGACAAGAACCAGGAGCTTCTTCTGGGTCTCCCTGCGAGTTCAGGGTCCCAAGGCCTTGGGCCATCCTTGACTGCCTTTGCAGGCCACAGACAGGGAGCTGGATGGGAAGCAGGGATACGAATCTGCACCCATAAGGGATCCCAGCACATGCAAGGCTAGGAATTTAGCCACTAGGCTACTGATCCAGGCCCAAGTATTTTACATATATATGCTTTTTTTTTTTTTTCTGTTATTTGAAAGGCAGAGTAACAGGGAAAAGGGAGAGCACTTCCATTTGCTGGTATATTTCCTAGATACCCGCCGCAAACAGGATGGGGCCAGGCTGAATCCAGGAGTCCTGGACTTAGTCCAGTTCTCCCACGTGGGTGTCATGGACCCGAGTCCTTGAACCATCACCTGCTGCTTCCCGTGGTATGTGTTAGCAGCAAGTGGATCGGAAGCAAAACCAGGAACTTAGGCCCCTCGGTATGGGATGTGGGCATCCCAAGTGGTATCATTTCATTCCTTTTTTTTTTTTTTTTAAGATTTATTTGTTTTTATTGGAAAGCCAGATAGATATACAGAGGAGAGAAAGAGAGGAAGATCTTCTGTCCGATGATTCACTCCCCAAGTGATGCCAGTGACCAGAGCTGTGCTGATCCGAAGCCAGAAGTCAGGAACTTTATCCAGGTCTTCCATGCAGGTGCAGGGTGCCAAAGCTTTGGGCCGTCCTCGACTGCTTTCCCAGGCCACAGGCAGGGAGCTGGATGGGAAGCAGTGCTGCCAGGATTAGAATAGGTGGTACCCATATGGGATCCCGGCATGTTCAAGGTGAGGACTTTAGCTGCTAGGGCACCATGCTGGACCCTCATTTCATTTTTAATGTATTTATTTGAAAGGCAGTGGGACCAAGAGAGAGAGATAGAGACAGAGAGAAAGATTTGGTTTATTCCTTAAATGGCCGCTATAGCCAGGGCTGAGCCAACCCCAAGCCAGGAACCAGGAACTCTGTCCAAGTCTTTCTTTTTTTTTTTTTTTTTTAAAGATTTATTTTTATTATTTTTTATTGGAAAGGCGGATATACAGAGAGGAGAGACAGAGAGGAAGATCTTCCATCCGATGATTCACTCCCCAAGTGAGCCGCAACGGGTCGATACTATGCCGATCCGAAGCCAGGAGCCTCTTCCGGGTCTCCCACGCGGGTGCAGGTTCCCAAAGCTTTGGGCCGTCCTCAACTGCCTTCCCAGGCCACAGGCAGGGAGCTGGAAGGGAAGCGGGACTGCCGGGATTAGAACCGGCGCCCATATGGGATCCCGGGCGTGCAAGGCGAGGACTTAACCACTTGCGCCACCGTGCCGGGCCCTTGTCCAAGTCTTTCATATGAGTGGAAGAGGCCTGACTTTTGGGGCCAGATTCCAGATCCTTCGCAGGTGTGTGAACGGACATGCTGAATCGAAAGCAGGGTAGCCAGAACTCAAACAGGTACTACAATACGGGATGGCAATATCACAAGTGGAAGCTTAAGCTAGTGTGCCAGGGTGCTGGCTCCTCAGCAGCATCGTAACCACTGCCACAACACCTGCCTCCAAAAAGATTTCTAGGAGCCAGCACTGTGACACAATAAGGTAAGCTATATGCGGTGCTGGTGTCCCAGGCATGTGCCAGGCCAAGTCCTGGCTATTCCACTTCTGATTCAGATCCCTATTTGTGGCCTGGGAAAGCAGCAGAGGAGGACCAAGTCCTTGGGACCCTGCACCCACATGGGAGACCCAGAAGAAACTCCTGGATTCTGGCTTCAGATTGGCTCAGCTCCAGCCATTTCACCCATTTAAGGAGTAAACCAGTGTTTAGAAGAACTTTCTCTGTCTCTCCTTCTCTTCGTAACTATGTCTTTCAAATAAAGATAAAATAAATCTTTGTTTTTAAGGAGTCTCACAAGCTAAACAGAATTGACAGGTCATACCAGATATAGAAAAATCAACAGAAAATATTATTGTTGGTTCTCCAGTTATCTGTACATCTGATATGTAAAAAAATAAACCATAATGAAAACAGATAGAGACATGGTGACTTCAAATTGATAATTTTGAAAACCCACTTAACTCTCTCTTTGGTATTGTTATTTAAAGATTTTTGTGGCAGAATTATTGTAATAGAAACTTTTAAAAAACAATTGTAGCTCATTTTTTATTTTAAAAAGTATTTCCTACATAAACTCTTGGTGATATTGTTTCCTTTTCCTTTTATGTATGTATCTGAGAGACAGATGAGAACCGGATCGTTCCCGGTAGCCAGGGCTGGGGTGGGCTAAAGTTCAGGTCTCCTCTTTGGGTGGTAGGTACCCAGTTACCTGAGCCATCCCAGCTGCCTCCCGAGATGAGCAATGGTAGGAAGCTGGCAGCAGGAACCAAACACACATGTTGTAAACCAAATGCAGATGTTGTAACTGCTAGGTTTATTGCCTGCCTCTTTTTTTTTTTTTAAGATTTATTCATTTTTATTACAAAGTCAGATATACAGAAAGGAAAAGAGACAGAGAGGAAGATCTTCCATCTGATGATTGACTCCCTCCCCAAGTGAGCCGCAGCGGCCGGTGCTGCGCCGATCCGAAGCCAGGAGCCAGGAACCTCTTCCGGGTCTCCCACACGGGTGCAGGGTCTCAAGGCTTTGGGCCATCCTCAACTACTTTCCCAGGCCATGAGCAGGGAGCTGGATGGGAAGTGGGGCTGTTGGGATTAGAACCGGTGCCCATTAGAACCTTCCTGTCAAGGAGGTGCCCATATGGGATCCCAGCGCGTTCAAGGTGAGGACTTAAGCCGCTAGGCCATGCCGCCGGACCCTACTGCCTGCCTCTTGATGACTTTAGAATGATTCTGTGTTGTGTGGACTCTAGAAATAGCTCATTAGTCTCTAATTTAGGGTTGGACAAAAAAAGCAAAGCAAATGTCAGACTTTCCTAAGACTATCTGTCTCCTGCTAATATTAGAACGAATATTTCTTCCTCGGGTTCCCCGTGGTTGTAGCAGGAAATGACGGGAGGTAGCTAACAGTGTTAATCTGCCTTTGCACTTGCTCATTAATGAACTTTAATTAAGGCATTTGGCCTAGCAGTTAAGACACCACTGGGATGTCCATGTCCTGTCCCTGAGCTTGAATCCCAGCTCTGTTCCCAATTCCGGCTTCCTGCGGATGTGGCCCTGGGAGGCAGCAGATAGTGCCATGAATCCTTGGCTTCCAGACACCCATGTGGGAGACCCAGGTTGAGATCTGGGCTCCTAGCTACAGTCTGGCCCACGCCTGACTGCTGTGGACATCTGAGGCATGAACCAGCAGGCAGAAGTTCTCCCTGTCTTCCTCCTCTCTCTGTCTGCCTTTCAAAAAAGTGAAGATGTATGTATATTTTTAAGTAAGCCTTCACTTGGAAACTGAAGGTGAGACCCAGATGAAGCCTTCCTGTCAAGGAGGAGCGAGGCAAGCAGAGCATTCAAACGGGTTAGACCTCAGTGGTGACTGTCACTCAGAGAGACAGTAGGTCCACAGAGCATGCCTTGAAGGTCACGAGGGCAGCCTTCCTGGTAGATGTGATCTTGGCTCTTAGTCAGCCAAGAGGACTAGGTGCTTGCTCAGTGAATGGGGTGGGAATGTGGTTAGGAGTGGCATTCCAAGCACAGGGAGTCATTAATAGAAGCAGGCACGAAATAGCACGGTGAGTTACAAGGACTGGCATTTGTTGAGCACAGCTGGGAAGCATTACTTATGAGGACATGGAACAAGACGAGACCAGATGAGTCGGCAGGGGGCAGGTCATGGAGGCCCAGTGAGAGACTGAACTTTGTTTTCAGCAGTGAGGAACTCTGGTTCATTGTATTTATTCCAGTTCCAAACCAAATCATCTTTGTTTTTTTTTTTTCCAAGAAAGCATCTGGGGAGCTTTGTGAAGGACAGTGAAGCAGTAGCCTTGGTTGGGGGCAGGTGGTTGGTGTACAGACTTCTGGAATAGTCCAGAGGAGACCATGAAAGGCCCAGAATAAGATACTAGCCAAAAGTTGGAAAGGGGTCCATGGGTAGGAATTAAAATAGAGGCCTTGGGACCTAGTGATCTGTGTGGAATTTCAGTAGATTGGTTGTGGATTGAGGAAGCAGGAGGGATTTGGATGCTGGGTGTCAAGGGTGTCAACTGAAAGGGCAGCCATAATATAAAGTGCAGCTGAAATATTTGCAGCAGAAAATTTACTTACATGTAATTTAAAGGCAACATCATAGTGTCACAGAAAACAATTGAGAGGTGTGAGGCAGAGAAAGAAGTGGCCAGGAGTGTGGTTTTGTGTGTGTGAGATGATCGCATTTTTCCTTCAGCCTAGGAGGGACTGGTTAGGAACTATTCCGATAGCCTCCGTGCCCTGACCTGTCTTTCTTTATCTTTCCCCGACTGCGCAGGAGTGACGCTGCCCTGGAGGAGGCAGTGGCCGAGGTGCTAGACCACCGACCCATTGAGCACAAACACTGCCCTCCCTGTCAGGTGTCTGTGGAGCTGGTGGGGTCCTGCACCACCCTGGTGGCGGAGAGAATCCTGCAGGGGGCGCCAGAGATCTTGGACAGGACAATTGCCGAGCTCCTGCATGGTGAGGGTGGCTGTAGGGCTGGGACCTGACCAGTTCCTCCAGTCCCATCCCAGAGAAGGGAGCATGGAAACATCTAAATTCTTCCCTGTGCTGGTACAGCATTCAGCTCACATCAGAGAATGGGATATCTATATGGGTGGGGACAGACAAGGAAGCATTTATTTAAAGAGCTACAGGATACTTGGTTGGAGAAACCAGGGGCAGGCATTTAGACTCTCTCAAGTAAATTTTTAAAAGTTTCCCAATTCTCTGGCTACTTCTTCCATTATACAGGGCTGCTAATAGGAAGCTTTGAGATCTGTTGCTGGGTACTTCAGTTCTGCTTTCTTTTTTTTCTTAAGTGTTAATGTATTAATTGTTTTCAAAATATGTTTTTTAAATTTCGAAGGCAGAGAGAGACAGAATCTTCTATCCATCGGTCATTCCCTAAATGACTGCAACAACCAGTTCTAGTCCAGCTGTAACCAGCTAGTCCAGCCTGGATACCAATGCTGTGCCATAGTGGGCCCATCCCACATGGGTGCCAGTTTGAGCCCTGGTTGCTCCACTTCTGATCCAACTCCCTGCTAATGTGCCTGGGAAAACAGTGGAGGATAACTCAAGGGCTTGGGCCCCTATACCACGTAGGAAACCTGGAAGAAGTTCCTGGCTTTGGCCCAGACCAGTGCTCTTTTGGCCATCTGGGGTATATACCAGCAGATGGAAGACCTCTCTTTTCTCTGTGTCTATAACTCTGCATTTCAAATAAATAAGGTGAATTTTTTTTTTTTAAAGATTTATTTTTTATTATTTTTTCATTGGAAAGGCGGATATACAGAGAGGAGAGACAGAGAGGAAGATCTTCCATCCGATGATTCACTCCCCAAGTGAGCTCAACGGGCCGATACTATGCCGATCCGAAGCCAGGAGCCTCTTCTGGGTCTCCCACGCGGGTGCAGGTTCCCAAAGCCTTGGGCCGTCCTCGACTGCTTTCCCAGGCCACAAGCAGGGAGCTGGAAGGGAAGCGGGGCTGCCGGGATTAGAACCGGCGCCCATATGGGATCCCGGGCGTGCAAGGCGAGGACTTAACCACTTGCGCCACCGCGCCGGGCCCAATAAGGTGAATTTTAACAAAGATGGCTCTGACCCGGTTGTGAGACCTCTAGGGCTTGAGTTGCCCAGGCTTCTTCCCTTCTTTCCTCCATTTCCCTGGTGACACTTTATTTTGGATGTGGGGGTGGCATGGCGGTCTGACTCAGGACAGTACTACCTTTCACTTTGTCTCCAGCGAATTTCCCACACAAATCTCCCAATTTGCCCATGTGATTGGAAGGTCATGTGTGTTCCAGTGGCTGTGGAACAGGGTCCCAGGATTCACCTTCTGTCCCCTTTCTGCTCCACAGGAACCATCCTCCTGGACTGTGTCAACATGGACCGAAAGATTGGGAAGGCCACCCCAAAGGACAGCCAGTATGTGGAGAGGCTGGAGGCCCTCTTCCCAGATCTGCCCCGGAGAGATGACATCTTTGATTCCCTCCAAAAGGCCAAGTTTGATGTATCAGGTAGGAAGGGCTAAGCTGATTTTCCTAACTGCCTGTACAAGGAAACAGATAGGCAGGCCTGTTTGATGATGTTCTTAAACACTGTTAAAACCATTTCAAGAGCATACCTAATGATTTAGGCTTTCGACAAGAGGGAGACAGGTAGCAGATAAGTCTGATCATGAACTAACAATCATGCATTTGTTTTCCGGCTCTTGGGAAGGGTGAGGAGGGAGAGGTTCTGGTCTCATCAGAGAATATGGGACACATAAATATCATTTGCTGAAGGTATGCTAAATCATTAGAATGTGGTTTGCATAACTGATTAAGGAGGTGGAAGAGCATTTAATATGACTTTATGAAAGACTAAGAAGAGGCCAGCATTATGAGCAGCACACTAAGCCTCGGCATGCGATTTCGGCACCCCATGTCAGAGTGCTGATTCCAGTGCCAGCTGCTCCACTTCCATCCAGCTCCTTGCTAATGTGCCTGGGAGGGAGACGATGGCAGAAGTTTTCTCACATACTGCTCATGTGGGAAACCAGTATAGATCCTGGCTTGTGACTTTGATCTGGGCCTAGATTTGGCTATTGAATCCATCTAAACAAGCAGATGGAAGTTCTCTCCCTGCCTGTCTCTCTGCCTTTCAAATAAATAGTAATATTTAAAAACAAAATAAAGAGAACCTAGTAATCCATAATCATTCACTCAGCTACCACCTATTGACATAAAAGGGGAAAAAACATGATGGGGGAGGCAGGCATTTGGCCCTGGGCTTAAATCACTGGGTGGCAAATTGCCTGAGTTGATGCCCGACTCCGACTCCATCTGTAATTCCTGCTTTCTGGTAATGCCACCCTTGGTATGCAGCAGGTGGTGACTCAACTCCCTGGGTCCCTGTCACCCTGACATGGAGACCTGCTTTAAGTTCCAGACTCTTGGCTTCAGCCTGGCCCAGTCTTGGCTGCTACAGACATTCAGAGAATGAACCAATGAATTGTGAGGTCTCTGTCTGATTCAGTCTCTCTCTGCCTTTCAAGTAAATAAATAAAATATTTTGGCCTAACAGTAGTCTAATCACTAAAGTCCTTGCCTTGCATGTACCAGGATCCCACATGGGCACCAGTTCATATCCTGGCTGCCATTTCCAGTCCAGCTGCTGTCTGTGGTCTGGGGAGTAATCAAGGACTGCCCGCCTTGGGACCCTACATCTACATAAGAGACCTGGAAGAAGCTCCTGGCTCCTAACTTCATATCAGCTCAGCTCTGGCCATTGCAGCCACTTGGGGAATGAACCAGTGGATGGAAGATCTTTCTGTCTCTCCTCTGTAAAATCTGTCTTTCCAATAAAAATAATAAAACAAAGAAATTAAGTATTTCTTTTGTTAAATTAATATTTATTTATTTAAAAATTTATTTATTTGAAAGGCACAGTTGCAAAGAGAGAGAGAGGTCTTCTTTGTGTTGATTCACTCCCCAGATGCCTATAATGGCCAGAACTGGGCCAGGTTAAAACCAGGAGCTTCTGCAGGTCTCCCACATGGGTACAGGGTCCCAAGCACTTGGGCCTTCCTCCACTGCTTTTCCAGGCCATGAGCAGGAAGCTATATCAGAACTGGAATGATTAGGTCTCAAAACAGCATTCATGTGAGATGCTAAAACTGCAGATGGCAGCTTAACCCATAACGCCATAGCACCAACCCTCAATAAAACGTTTATTAAAAAGTCTGAGGAGGGAAAAAATGAAGGAGGAAAAGGAAGGAGAGAAGAAGAACAATACCACCTGGGTTTTTTAAAAGTTAAAGAGTGAAGACAGGGGATATGAAGGCCATTTCTGCTGCTCTTACCTTTCTCCCAGCAGTCCTTTGCTCCTGAGGTAACTATTGTGGCCCCATTAGTTAAGGCAGTTGTTATTATTATTATTATTATTACCATTAGTGTGCATTTTCTGTTATCTCCCTGCTCCATGCGCCCTGAGGGAAGCCTGTGTTTTCTTTGCACTTGCCCTTGGTCCTGGGCACTGGGCTCCCCTGTTTGATCCCTGGTATCACATCTACTTTTAGGACTGACCACTGAGCAGATGCTGAGGAAGGACCTGAAGACCATCTACAGACAAGGCACCAAGGTGGCCGTTAGTGCAATATATATGGATTTGGAGGTAAGAGCAGAGGGGTGTGGTGGGGAGAGAAACCCCTAGTCCCTGTGTAGCCCCGCCCTTGTTCCCGACTCACCCTCAGAGCATGCCCTGTGCCTGTCCATGCATCTCTACTCCTGCTGTGGCCACCACCGTCTGCTTTCTCTCGTTATATCTCTGTAGTAGCCTCTGTAGCTGGCTGGCCTGCCACATCCCCCCCTCCCCAGCCAACTTTTGCACCTTTATGAACTATTCTCCCCACAGCAACCAGAACAATCTGTTTAAGACATAAATTGGGGAGTTGGCACAATGACATAGCACATTAAGCCTCTGCCTACAACTCTGGCATCCTTTATGGGCACCAATTCAAGACCTGGCTGCTCTAATTGCCATCCAGCTCCCTGCTTGTGGCCTGGGAAAGGAGCAGAGGATAGCCCAAGTGTACTCTTTCCCCATGTGGGAGACCTGGAGGAAGCTGCAGGGTCCTGGCTTCAGATCGGCTCAGTTTTGGCCACTGTGGTTATTTGGGGGAGTGAACCAGTGGATGCAAGATCTCTCTCTGTAACTCTGCCTTTCCAATAAAACTAAAATAAATTTTTAAACATTTATTTTTATCGCAAAGGCAGATTTACAAAGACAAGGAAATACAGAGAGAGATCTGATGGAGCTGAGCTGATCTGACGCCAGGAGCTTCTTCTGGATCTCCCACACAGGTGCAGGGTCCCAAGGCTTGGGCCATCCTCCAGTGCTTCCCCAAGCTATTAGAGGGGAGCTGGATAGGAAGTAAAACAGCCAGGACATGAACTGGCCCTGTATGGGAAGCCATTGCTTAAAGGTAGAGGATTAGCCAGCTGAGCTATTGCACCTAGCCCTGTTTTGTTTTCTTCCCAGCACTTAACACCGTGAAGTGGTCCTGTTTCACAGTCTCCTTGTTTGATGTCTGTATGACTCATTCTCAGAGTGCATAGGAGGTATATATTCTGATTTCAGAATCCTTTACATCAAAATAAATTTATCTTTTTAGGAGCAAACTCTTTTTAAAAGATCTATTTATTTATATTGGAAAGGCAGATATACAGAAAGAAGGTGAGACAAAGAAAGATCTTCCATCAGCTGGTTGACTCCCCAGTTGTTCACAATGGCTGAAGCTGGGCCAATCCAAAGCTAGGAGCCAAGAGCTTCTCCTTCTTCTGGGAACCCTGTGCAATTGCTGTGGCCCACCCACTTGGACCAAGCTTTCCCAAGCACATTAGCAGGGAGTTGAATCAAAAGTGGAGCAGCCAGGACTTGAACCAGTGCCCATATAAGATACCAGCACCGTAAGTGAAGGCTTAGCATACTGCACCAACAGTTCCAAACCCAAATTTATTTTTAATTCTTCTTTTTCATGAACTTTATTTATTTGAGAAACAGACATGGGGAGAGAGCATCCATCTGCCAGTTCACTATCCAGATGGCTGTAACAGCTGGAGGCGCTGAAGCCCAGAGTCGCCCACATAGGTGGTAGGAACCCAGTCACTTGAGGCATCATCCTGCCTTCCTACAGCTGACATTACAGGCAGCCGGAGTGACGAGGGCATGGAACCTGAGTGTTCTGACATGTAATGTGAACAGCCTCCCACATCTTAATCGCTAGGCTGCAGGCCTGCCCTCCGGGGACTTGGTACCCTTGTATCCTCTGCCTTTTATCAGCACATCCAGCTCAGGACCCTGCTTCATGATATTTAGACCCTTCTGTAGTGGCTGCCACTTAGTGGATGCTCAGCAAATTTTCTGGAGTGGATGAATGAACATAATATTTAATGAATTCAATTTAATGTTACCATTCATTTTGCTTTTGAGAGGATGAAAGAACTCCCTTCTACTGTTTCATTCTCCAGGATGTCCACATTGGCTGGGACTGACGGAGCCCCAGCTCCAGCCATGTTCCTCACACGGCGAGCACACACCTGCCTGCCAGGGTCTGCTTAAGAAAGGATGCCACTTGCAATATTGGCATCCCATCTGGGCTCTGGTTCAAGTCCTGGCTACCCCACTTCTGATCTAGCTTCCTGCTGGTGCGCCTGGGAAAGCAGCAGAGGGTGACCCAAATGGGTAGGCCCCTGCACCCATGTGGGGAACCCAGTTAAAGCTCCTGGCTTCGGCCTGGCTCATCCCTTTCTGTTATGGCCATGTGGGGAGTGAGCCAGGAAAAATAAGTTTTCTTTCTTGCCCTCTGTTTCTCCATCTTTCTGTGTAACTATGCCTTTCAAAGAAATCAACAAGTCTTAGAATGTCCCAGGCTGGAGCAAAGCTCTGAGCTGACACAGGTGGCGTCAATCTTCACTGGAGGAAGTGCTGCCTGCCTGGGAAGGGAGGCTGAGTTGACAAAGAATAAAGAACCAGGCTGCAGTGGTCACTCATCTGTGTTTCCTTAAGACATACACTCCACTGATCTGTTCTAGAATAAAAATACCCTCAGGACAAAAAGACCTTGCGTATTTGGCCGTAAGAGCAGGAGAGCCTGGCGCGTGTCAGGAACATCACATGCATTACTGTGTTTTCATGCCCAAAGCTATCAGTTCAGGTCAGCGCTGTCTCCTTGTTTTACAGGCAAGGAAACTTAGATCCAGGGCGGATGGTATCACGTAGCTAACAGGTCTATGATACTCCCATAGCTGACTTCCAAAGCAATGCTGGCTTAATTCACACTGCTCCCCACCAGAGAGACAGCACAGAGTTAATACCAGGTACCTTGTGCATGGTGCCCAGGTTCTGGGTTAGCACGCTGGGCTGGAGGTGGCATAGAGGGGCCAGCCGTCACCCCCATCTCTCTCCATGTCTTCCCCACAGGCCTTCCTGCAGAGGCCCAACCTCCTTGCCGACCTCCAGGCTTTCTGCTGCACTCACAGCTATGATGCCCTGGTCGCCATGACTATCTTTTTCAGCACTCACAATGAGCCCGTGCGGCAGCTGGCTGTTTACTGTGCGTGCCCCGTGGCCCTGCGGATGATGGTGAGTCCTGCTCGCCCATGGGGCCTTGCCCACCCGTGTGTCCCTGTGCGCCACACCACTTCTGGCTGGTTTTGTTTTGTTGTTCTGTTCTCTGTGTCTGTGAGTAGCCTTCATCACGCAGCAAGGAAAGGGGACGGCAGAGACGCACGTTCTACTTTAGGTGGAACTTGAAGTTTGGCCAGATGGAACTGTTTTAAATCTGCTTGACTGCAGCGTGAATCGTTCATTTCACACACTGGAAAAGCAGCTCTTCTCTGTTCTGTTTCCTCGCTTTGGAAAGAAGGAGCGCTGAGACGTTTCTGCTACTCACAGTGGTCCCGTTTGGCACCAGCTGTGTGGAGAAGGGACCTGGGATCAGGATTTTTGTTTTTGTTTTTGTTTTTTCCTGACCTTCCATCTGGCCACCCTTGCAACTTCCTCCTCTTCTCTTCTTTTGGTTACTGATTAGCCAGGGAAGAATTTAAAAGTGGGCTTAAGGCAGTCAGTGCAGGGACTGCCTAGTTGTCCCCTTTATCTTCATCTTTGTCTTCCTCCCCCACTCCACCCCGCCCCAGGCTCCTGGAGACAAATATGCTTTTCCTCTGCGGGAGGTAGTTTGGAGTTGTAGAAAGAACACTGGCATTTAAAGTCAGAGAAACATGCCTTTCTGTCCTGGTGGCCACTTATCTGCCCTTCAATCTAAGGCAAATCATTTGACTCTGAGTCTGTAAATGGCACAGTAATACCTCCTGTGATCATTACAGTACCAGGTTTAAAGTCCACTGCTGGGCATAAAGTAAGCAGTTCAGCGGATGGTGCCTGTTTTTTATATATATTTTTTAGCAATTTTCATTTATGAACATTCTTATTTGTAAGTAAATCAAGTTTTCCTACTCTTTGAGGCAGTTCCACTGGGGATTCCATCTTCTCCAGGGGCAGGGTTGTACTGAAGGGAGCTGCTGCATTTCCAAGATTGGATGAGCCATAGGGGAACCCGCAGATTTTGGAGGATCCATCAGGAACTTCTTTTTTTTCCCTTAAGATTGATTTATTTTTATTACAAAGTCAGATATACATAGAGGAGGAAAGACAGAGAGGAAGATCTTCCGTCCGATGGTTTACTCCCCAAGCAGCTGCCACGGCTCCAATCTGAAGCCAGGAGCTTCTTCCAGATCTTCCACGTGGGTGCAGGGTCCCAAGGTTTTGGGCTGTTCTTGACTGCTTTCCCAGGCCACAGGCAGGGAGCTGGATGGAAAGCTGGGCTGCTAGGACAGTCAGCACCCATGTGGGATGCTGACATTTAGCGTTGGAGCATTAACCAGTTGAGCCATTGTGCTAGGCCCTATTTCTGCCAGAGTCCCTCTCCTGACCTCTAAATACATCGTGGTTTCATCTAAAGTCAGAATTCAAGTTCTTGAATACAGGAGCTGGAGACCCTGGATTCTGTTAGATGACTCTGTCATCACCTTTTATTTTTCCTAAGAAACTGAATTTTCTGAGCTTTGGTTTTCTTAATACTAAAATGAAATGTATGAACTGAAATTATAACTTACATATCCTTTCTTGCAAATAATAACTCAAAACTCTGGATGACTTAAGACAAGTTTTGGAGGGCTGCTATCTGCAATGTTGCAATCCCATATGGGTACCAGTTTGAGTCCTGGCTGCTCCACTTCCAGTTCCCTGCTAATGTGCCTGGGAAGACAACAGAGGATGCCCCAAGTCATGGGCCCCTGGTACCAACATGGGAAACCCAGAGGATCTCCTGGACCTTGGCCATGTTAGCCATTTGAACCAATAAATGGAATGTAGGGGTGTGTGTGTGTGTTCTTCTCTCTACAAGTCTGCCTTTCAAATAAATCTATTCAAATAGCTTGAAAGCTTTTTATTCTCTAAAGGAAGCCTCACTTCTTTGCCTTCCCCGACCCCGGGCTGTGTCTCATTCCCCCATTTTGTCTCTCCACTGCAGCTCTGTGATGTTCTGGAACGCTCCCAGTCTCCACCCCTGAAGCTGACCCCTCTCCCAAGCACCCACCCTGACCTGCAGGCCTATCTTCAAGGCAACACACAGGTTTCTCGAAAGAAGCTCCTGCCTCTGCTCCAGGAAGCCCTGTCAGCATACTCTGACTCCATGCAGACCCCTCCGGGACAGCCGGAGACAGAAGGTGTGGCCCGGGAGCAGGCGGACAAGGAATCGGACAGGGCCGGGAACTCCCTGATTACTGGACTGAGTCAAGACGAGGAGGACCCCCCACTGCCCCCGACGCCCATGAACAGCTTGGTGGATGAGTGCCCTCTGGATCAAGGACTACCCAAGCTCTCTGCTGAGGCCGTCTTTGAAAAGTGCAGTCAGATCTCGCTGTCGCAGTCTGCCACCGCCTCCCTGTCAAAGAAGTGACTGCCAGGCAGGGAGGGAGACGCTGGGTGAGGTGGCTGGAGCCGCCCCCGATGCATGTTGTGAGAGGTTTGGTGGTTTCAGCAGTTCTGTCTCATCGTTTGGGGGTCTGGTCCGGTGTTCTTGTATAACGGGGAGGGGAAAGAAAGCAGCTGCTGGGAGAATGACCTTCTGCCTAATCCCTCCAAGCTCCCGCTTGGTCAGTTCTGTTATTCACTGGTATGTTTTAAGTCTGTACTGACTCTTGGATTTCGTTAGCCAAGGGCATGATATGGCAGTACCCACAGCCGCAGCAGGGTCGGATAAAGAACGGAGACCCCTAAAGTGCCCTCTGTAGGGCTCTGTGGTGGAACCAAGTGCTCACCAACCAAGGTGATTGTCTCCTTGCATCCTTCTGTTCGCTTATTTGGGGAAATATTTACGGAATGCCTGCATTTAGCAAGGTTGCAAAAAATGCATTGGAAACTCTTGGTTCTCAGCCGCACTCGGCTGATATCCAGCTCCGACTTAGAGTCACTGGGTGCTTGGTGCCAACATGGCAGTTTCTTTCCTGAAAACACAGGGACTCTCAGGTCTTACCGTGCCTGTGAGCAGACTGGAGGCCTTTTTCTCCTGCCCTGAGCAGGGGTGACTAACTCTGTGCTTCTTTAATCCCTGTGTCCCAGAGCTGCCACAAGGAGCCCTGCAGAGCCAACGGCAGCCTGCACACAAGACACTGTCCCCGCAGGGGGCAGAGCTGGGGCCAAGGCCCTGGGCCAAGCCCCTGCCCGAGCAGGTGTGTCCATCTCATGTCTCTCCTCTTCTTGTTCAGGTTCAGAGCGGGAATGGGACTCTTATATAGCCTGCCACAAGCAGTGTGTTGTTAGGCGAGATGCCTGCCCGAGGCCTCATTTTCCCAGCTGGAGCACCGGGTGGGTCCCAGTGCTCCCCGCTGTTCTGTGATGCACCTTGGCCACCATCCTTTCCTCTCCTCTGTATTTATTTTTTTCTTTCTGTTTTCCCCGGGAGTGCAGAGTGTAGCTAGCTTGTCTGTCTTCTGTGTGAATGTACCGAGGGACTTAGCCTCATGTAGCATGTTGTGATCCCCTAGTGGCCGCACACAAAGCTCTGTCCTGCTGACTCCTTCTGCATGTGTAGAATCTCCTTTTTTTTTTTTTTTCTTCAAAACAATTTGTAGTGTCCCCCTACCCGCGTCCCTACCCAGCAGCTGTATTGCATGTTAGCTGCCAGTGTGTTCTCCGGGCAGTGGGGGTATGCGATGGTTTTGGTGTGACATCTTCTGATACGAGGGGGGACAGTCTGACTTGAAGGGTTTGGTATCTGTAGCCATGTGGACAAGTAGTGGTATGTGATCACTGAACCAAAGGAATTTGTTTTGTAACTTGGTACTTTATTTTACATTTTGTTAAAGTATTAAATACTTTTTCCTGCTCTGAGTCTGGTGGTGTCGTTTTTACTGCTGTGGTCATGACTTCCCCTGCAACCGTCGTGTCAGCCTGCTTCTCCCCACCGTGCAGAAGGCCGTCTGTCAGTTCCTTGTGGGAGGAGGAGGCAAGCTTCTCCCTCTGCTCGTCCTTGTCCTTCAATTGGCTTCTTCAACCGGAACCCTCCTTTGCTACATACTTGTCTCTCCAGTTTTCCTCAGGGCCCAAGATTGTAGAAATGATTTTAACTAAAATGATTGCCACTGTGGCCTTTTTCTTAAAAAAAAAAAAAAAGAGAGAGAGAGTGGGGACAGTGTTGTGGTATAGAAAATAAAACCTCCCCAAATGGGCACAAGTTCAAATCCCAGCTGCTGCTTTTCAGATCCAACTTCCTGCTATTTTGATTTGGGAAAAGTAATGGGATGTCAATCTCCCTGCTTGTGTCTGGAAAAGCAGCAGCATACGGCCCACATGACATCTTTTAAAAAAAAATGTAGGGGCAGAAGCAGCATCAGTGCCCATTCGAGTCCCGGCTTCCAAACCAGCTCCTTGCTAATGTATCTGGGAAAGCAGCAGAAGATGGCCCACGTGCTTGGGGCCCTGCCATCTGTCCGCCCAGGGAAGCGTGGATGGAGTTTCTGGTTCCTGGCTTGGATCTGGCCTGCTCTCCAGCCGATGTAGCCATATGGGAAGTTAACCAGCAAATGAAAGATATCATTCTGTCTTCCTTCGTATTACTTTGCCTTTTTAAATAAATAACATTTTTAACACAGCCTCCAGGCCATCAAAAGGAGAACCAAGTGTTTTCCTAAACCCCCCATGACTAGCCATCCTAAAAAAAAATGCTCTCTCTGCCCCAAGGTCCGCACCCACGCAGTGGGCAGGGTTTCTCTTTTGGGCAAACCTGCTTCTTGGGAAGGGAGGTGGCAAAACCTGTTTGAAGAGGAGGTTACCTCCCTCCCGCACCTCCCTCTTTGGAGGCAAGAGCAACAACAAGCTAAGGCAGAAAAAGAGGGTAAAAGCAGTATTGGCTGGAAGGAGCAGCTCCCCAGCAACTGAGTTTCCAGGAGGAAGGCCGTGAAGATGGGGACTACCCAAGACGCAGGAAAAATGGCATCAGATCTCGGGTGAGTAGAGACCTGACGCGGAACAGGGAGTGGAGAGTCTTGGGACTTTCCCACTTTCCCTCTCTTGGCAGACCAAATTCCAGGGCTTGCTGGAAGAAAGGGGACGGAGCGAGGGATAGGGTTGGCTTTAGCCCATGTGCCCTGGAACTGAGGGACGGGGGCATCCTGGCTTCAAAAACAATGCAGGCTGGACCTTCAGTTAAGCTGCTTCTCGGGGTACCTTCACCCCATACAGGGTGTCTGGGTTTGTGAGTTCTAGCTCTGCATGCTGGATTCCTGTGAATGTACACACCCCAGGAAAGCAGCAGGGGTGGCTCAAGTGCTTGGGTCCCTGCCACTCATGTGGGAGACCCAGATGGAGTTCCAGGCTCCTGCCTTCTCTCTGAGCCAGTCCTGCTTGTTACGGATATTTGGAAGATGAACCAGCAAATGGAGAGCTCTGTCTGCCTTTTAATATAGATAATATAGATATAGGTAGATATGTTTCCTGTATTTTATATCTGATAAATCAGTCCTTGTTCTTTTTTTTTTCTTAAGATTTAGTTTTTAATTGCAAAGTCAGATATACAGAGAGGAGGAGAGACAGGGAGGAAGATCTTCCGTCTGATGATTCACTCCCCAAGTGACCACAACGGCTGGTGCTGTGCTGATCTGAAGCCAGGAGCCAGGAACCTCCTCCAGGTCTCCCACACGGGTGCAGGGTCCCAAGGCTTTGGGCCATCCTCAACTGCTTTCCCAGGCCACAAGCAGGGAGCTGAATGGGATGTGGAGCTGCTGGAATTAGAACCGGTGCCCATATGGGATCCCAGAGTGCTTTAGCTGCTAGGTCACTGTGTTGGGCCCATTCTGTCCTCTTTTAAGGAATTGTTTTCATTTTTCTATATTTAAAAGTCATAGTTACAGAAGAAAACTGAGAGACCTTGTATGTCTGCTGATTTACTTTATTCCGCAATTGCTACAATGGCCAGGGCTGGGCCAGGCAGAAACTAGGAATCGGGAGCTTCTTCCAGATCTCCCATATGACATGAGTTCAGGTTCCCAAGCAGTTGGGCCTTCCTTCGTTCTGTTTCCTAGTCACACTAAGAGCTGGATCAGAAGTGGAGCAGCCAGAAATCAAACTGGCCCCCCTATAGACTGCTGGTGTTGCAGGTGGCAGATTAACCTGATAAGCCACCACCCTGGACCTTCTTCCACCCTCCAGAATGGCCATCAGGAAAGCTGACCCAGATCTCAGTTCAAGCATAGGTTTTTTTTCCCAGCAAGTCTCTCCCTCCTTCCTTGCCTTCTTTGTCTATCTCTGCACCTCAGCCGTGTTTTCCCCTGGCCACTCCCCAGCACAGCAAGGAAAGGCAGGCCTGACTAAGTGCCACCATCTCCAGCTCTGCTGGTAATACCTGGGTGCGTCTGCCTGGGTTCCAGCCAGTTATAACGTGGGACATCTCTCCAGCCAACTTGGTAAGCAGAGCCAAGTGCTGTTAGTAGCGAAGTAATGATTAGCTTTCCTTGATCCCAAACCCAACAGTGGGTATCTGCTCCTGCCCGTGGTGACAGGGTGGGGAGGAGTAGGGAGATCCTCTATAAAGGAGGTGAGCACTGGGTGCTTTTGTAAAGTGCTTTGTGGTTTTTTTTATTAGTGTTTTGTTTTGTTTTGTTTTGTTTTGTTTTGTTTTTGCTTTAAAATGTTTACTGGGCCCGATGTGATGGCTCAATGGTTAAATCCTTGCCTTTCATGTACTAGGATCCCATTTGTACACTGGTTTGTGTCCCAGCTGCTCCACTTCCCATCCAGCTCCCTGTTGTGGCCTGGAAGGGCAGTAGAGGACGGCCCAAAGCCTTAGGACCCTGCATCTACTTGTAAGACCCAGAAGTTCCTGGTTCTGACCTTGGGTCAGCTCAGCTCTAGCCATTGGAGCCATTTGGGGAGCAAACCAGAAGATGAAAAATCTTTATCTTTGTCTCTTTATCTCAGCCTTGAGACCTGTACCTGAAAGAAGCTCATGGCTCCTGGCTTTGGATCAGCTCAACTTCAGCTGTTGTGGCCACCTGGGGAGTAAATCAGTGGGTGAAAAATCTTTCTGTGTCTCCTCCTCTCTGTAAATCTGACTTTTCAATAAAAAAAAGTAAATCTTTTAATTTTTTTAAATTTTATTTTTATTGGAAAAGCAGAGTTACACAGAGAGAGCTCTTCCATCCACTGGTTCACTCCCCTAAAATCACAACAGCCAAAGCTAAGCTGATCGGAAGCCAAGAACCAGGAGCTTCTTCCAGGTCTCCCAGATGGGTACAGAGTGTACTTGGGCCAACCTCTACTACTTTTCCAGACCACAAACAGGGAGGTGGCTGGGAAGTGGAACAGCCTGGACCCACACTGGTACCCATATGGGATACTGCTGATGCAGGTGAAGGCATGGTCTAATGCCCCGAGACACCTGCCCTATGCACCTTCAATGTCTCCAGCCTACTGTGCAATTCCCTTAAGACACTGACTAGGGGGTCCGGCGCAGTGGTCTAGCGCTTAAAGTCCTCGCCTTGAATATGCCGGGATCCCATATGGACATAGGTTCTAACCCGGCAGCCCCATTTCCCATCCAGCTCCCTGCCTGTGGCTTGGGAAAGCAATTGAGGATGACCCAAAGCTTTGGGACCCTGCACTTGCGTGGGAGACCTAGAGGAGGTTCCTGGCTCCTGGCTTCAGATCAGCACAGCACCAGCCATTGCGGTCACTTGGGGAGTGAATCATCAGACAAAGGAACTTCCTCTCTGTGTCTCCTCCTCTCTGTATATCTGTATACCCCCACTTGGGGAGTGAACCATTGGACAGAAGATCTTCCTTTAAATAAAAATAAAATAAAATAAATAAATCTTTAAAAAAAAAGACACTGACTAGGGAATGCGTGTTCTGGCACAACGGGTAAAGCTGCTGCCTGCAATGCTGGCATCTCATATGGATACCAGTTTGAGTCCTAGCTGTTCCACTTTCTATCCAGCCATCTGCTAATGGCCTGTAAAAGTAACAGAAAATGGACCAAGTGCTTGGGCTTCTTCACCAACATGAGAGAACCATAAGAGGCTCCTGACTGTGGCCCAGCCCCATCCCTAGCCATTGTGGTCAATTGAGGAGTGAACCCCTGGAAGGAAGATCCCTCCTTTTCTGGTGTAACTCTGCCTTTCAAATAAAGACTCTTAAAAAAAAGGGGGGGTCATTGTCTCAGCTGTCTCGTGACCATCTCTTCTCCCGGGGATGATCTTTGTGTCAGAAAGGATGCAGAAGCTGCAGAACCAGGAACAGCCCTGAGCTTTGGGGAACTGGAGCTGAAGGAAGAATGGCAGGATGAAGAATTCCCTCGGTGAGAAGGCTGGGGAAGGGCAGGGTGGCCACAACGGGAGGTAGGCACAAACAGCAAACTTGAAGAGATGCCAACAGGAGAGCAAAGGGGCAGCAGCCCGTGCAGTTGTTAAATGGCTGCCTCCCACGTTAGGAGGCTCTTATTCGCGCCCCTGGCTGCTCCGCTTGCCGGCCAGCTTCCTAGGAGTGAGCACACTGGGCAGCAGCAGATGACTCAGGTGCCTGTAGCCCTGCCACTCACCTGGGGGACCCAGATGCAGCTCCAGGTTCCTGGCTTCCACCTGGCTCAGCCCTGGTGGGGAGTGAACAAGTGGGTGGGAGCTTTCTCCATTTCTATCTGTGTCTTCCCAGATAAGAAAAGATGAAAATATAATTGTGAAAAGGAAACAGAGGTGACCCAAGCATTCCAGGGAGAAAGGACTGAGAGACTGGCACCTGGCTTGATTCCTTTGGCTGTTATGGACACAGAGTCCTTTCATCTCTCCTGCTCTAGATTGCTTCCCGAGGAGATGGGTCCTTCTGAAGATCCTGAAGACCCTCAAAGAAACTCCCAGGCGGGTAGGGAAAGAAAAAACTGGAGGGTCGGTATGATATCTCAACAGGGTAATCCTCCACCTCCTAGTACCAGTATCCCATATGGGCACCAGTTCATATCCCGGCTGTTCCATTTTCCATTCAGCTCCCTGCTTGTGACTTGGGAAAGCAGTGGAGGACGGCCCATGGCCTTGGAATCCCGCACCCACGTGGGAGACCATGAAAAAGCTTGTGACTCCAGGCTTCAGATCAGCTCAGCTCTAGCCTTTGTGGCCATTTGGAAAATGAATCAGCAGATGGAAGAAATCTCTTGTCTCTCCTCTGTAAATCTGCATTTCCAAAGGGAAAAAAACAAGCTGGACCATTCTGTCACAGACCTTTTCCTCTTTCCCTGATGTTCCCTGTATCATATAAGTACTGTGACTGCCCCTCACCCCTACCCCACCACACACATGTCTCAGGCTGATTGGTTGGTCTGCCCTCCCTCCTTTCTCCAATCCCAGGTACCCCCAGCACCTTATCTCTGTGTGGTGCTCGCCCCATGCGGAAGCGACTGTCTGCCCCACAGCTGCAGCTCAGTCTGACCAAGGGACCGGGAGGCAGCGGAGCTTCCCCTGCCCACTCTGCACCTTCCTCGCCGGATGGCAGTTCTGACCTGGAAGTGGAGGAGTTGGAGACGCCCTCAGACTCAGAGCAGCTGGACAGCGGCCATGAATTTGAATGGGAAGGTAAGAGGCAAACCTTGGGGGGTGGGGGGGGACAGGCTGGACTAGTGAGATCTTAGGATGGATTTGATGGCACTTAAGTTAGAGCTAGTACCTGAAGAGGAAAAGCCAAAGCCAAAATGAGTTTCTCTGGAAAGAAAAAATAGACCTTATTTTTTCATTTTATTTGAAGGGCAGGTAGAGAGAGGCCTTCCAGCCTCTGGTTTGCTCTCCTCAAAATTTGCAACAGTCAGGGCCGGGCCAGGTAGAAGTCAAGAGCCTCCCAGGTGGGTAGCAGGAATCCAAGTACTTGAGCCATCATCTACTGCCTCTCAGGATGCCCGCTGGCAGGAAGCTGGATCACAACTAAAGCAGCCAGGACTTGCACCAGATATTGTGATATGAGATGCAGCGTCTCCAGCTGCAACTAAACCACTTTCCCAAAGTAGAGCTTACAGGTCCACTGCTAGAGTAGGCAGGAGAGGAGTGCAGTCCTTGAATGATTAGGGGAAACCTGACTGTTACATATTATCACTGAATTGGGACAGGGATGATGAGGTAAATCAGACAGGGGCCAGTGCTGTGCTGGTGTGGGGAAAGCTGCCTTTTCAAAAGTTCTGCTCCATTTCTAATCCAGCTCCCTGTAACAGGCCTGGGGTGGCAGCGGAGGATGGCCCAAGCCCCTGGGCTCTGCACCAACTTGGGAAATCTAGAACAAGCTCCTGGCTTGTGCCTGGTCCAGTGCCAGCCAATGGTGGCCATTTGGGGAATGAACCAGCAGATGGAAGATCTCACTTTATCTTTCTTTTTTTTTTTAAGACTTATTTATTTTTATTGGAAAGGCAGATATACAGAGAGGAGGAGCGATAGAGAGAAAGATCTTCCATCCTACGGTTCACTCCCCAAGCGGCCGCAACGGCGGGAGATGAACCAATCTGAAGCCAGGAGCCAGGAGCTCTCCCAGGTCTCCCATGCGGGTGCAGGGTCCCAAGGCTTTTGGGCCGCATGGGAGACCTGGAGAAAGTTCCTGGCTCCTGGCTTCGGATTGGTGCAGCAGTTGCTTTTGTGGCCACTTAGGGAGTAAATCATCGGACGGAAGATCTTCCTCTCTGTCTCTCCTCCTCTTTGTACATCTGCCTTTGCAAGAAAAAAGAAAGAAAGAGAGAGAGAGAGGAAGGAAGGAAAGAAGGAAGGAAAGAAGGAAGGAAAGAAGGAAAGAAGGAAGGAAGGAAGGAAGGAAGAAACTTGCTGGATCCCACGCAATGACTCAGTGGTTAAATATTCATCTTTCATAAACCAGTATCCCATATGGACACAGGTTTGTATCTCAATTGCTCCACTTCCCTTCCTGCTCCCTGCTTGTGGCCTGAGAAAGCAGTCGAGGACGGTCCAAAGCCTTGAGACCCTGCATATACAGGGGAAACCTGGAGGAAGCTCCTGGCTCCTGGCTTTGGATTGGCTCAGCTCTGGCTGTTGCAGCCACTTGGGGAGTGAACCAGAAAACAAAAGATCTCTCTGTCTTTTCTTACATATGTAAACTGCATAGCTTTTTAAAATTTATTTATTGGCAGAACAATAGAAAGAGAATCTTTTTCCAGCCTCTCATTGGTTTACCCTCTAAATGAGCACAACAGCCAGAGCTGGGCCAGGCCAATCCCAGGAACCTAAAATTCCATCCAGGTCTCCCTTACAGGTGGCGGGGCAAAACAGCCTGGGCTATGATCCACTGCCTTCCCTGGTACATTAGCAGAAAGCTAAGTCAGAAGCAGAGCAGCTGGCACCTGAGCTGCACTGAGATGGGGGATGCAGGCATCCTATGTGGCAGCTTCATTCACTGCACCACGATGTGTGTCCCTCCACAATCCACCTCAAGACCAGTCACAAGTAACTGCAGTGAGAGGTTACAGTCTGCGTGTGAATCAGGTCTAGACATAGACAGTAAGAAGAAAAAGATGCGTCCATCTGCCAGAGATGTTACGAAAGACTTAGCACAGGAGAAGAATCTGAGCTGGGGGCAGGAAATTGAAGCTGAAGCCCACGTCTCACATAGCTGGAGAGAATGTTCTAGGCTGAATAAATAGCTCAAGCATTAGCATAGCATGATGAAGAAATCCAAGTATGTCACGTGTTCATTTAGACAACAATGGCAGAGAAACCATGATGTAAGTGGGGTAAGTCACAGAGGGGTGAGTCTTTGCCTAGGATTCCAGCATCCCATGTGGGCATTGATTTGGGTCCTGGCTGCTCCACTTTCTTTTGGTTTTTGTTTTTTTTTTCTTTTTGTTTTAATTAATAAATTTTATTTTGACATTCTTTACATAGTTAATTAGGGTAAGAAGGTTCAAGGGCTACAGGAAAGTGGATAATACTAGTATGTTTTCCATATTGTTAGCTTCATATTTAAAGGGGGGTATTTAAGGGAGAAGCCCACCCAATTTCCCACCCTCCCCAGGTCCCGGATGTAGGGCATGCTCTGAGGTTCTTGCTCAAGTGGTTTTGATATTGCCACAGTTATGAATCGCTGTCAATCTTGCCACTCCAAGCACTATGAGATCTTTGAAAAATCCACTGATTGACATAGTCCATCATAGCTGAGATGGTTGGTTGACCTGTTCTGTCTTCTCTCTTTTCTTCGTTAGGGTTCTGAGTCCAGCATTTAGATTAGGAAGATCTCCAAAGAAACTTCTTGTATGTGCTAACAGGTACAGGGCCTGGCACCGTCCATCGCTCCAATCAGCTGGTGGTTGCAATTGCTGGGTTGGTTCTGTTTTCACTCCCGACTTCCACTGGAACCAATGGGTGTTGCAGTCCAGCCTGGTTCTGCCCAGCACATACTTGGCCCTCACATAAACCAGCGGGAGCTGCAGCCTAGGTTGGGACTGCTCCACTTTCAACTCAGCTCCCTGCTGATGTGCCTGGCAAGGCAGTGGAAGATCACCCAAGTGCTTGGGCCCCTGAACCCACATGGAAGACAACCTAGCCCAAATGAGCCATTTGAAGAGTAAACCAGAAGATAGAAAATCTCTCTCCATCTCAACCCTCTCCCTAACTTGACTTTTCAGATAAATAAAAAAATATGTATATCCATTTTTTTAAGAAGGAAAGCTATCAAAAGATAGTGCTGAGGGCCCAGCACGATGGCACAGTGGTTAAGGTCCTTGCCTTGCACGCCCAGGATCACATATGGGCACCGGTTCTAATTCCAGCAGCTCCACATCCCATCCAGCTCCCTGCTTGTGGCCCAGGAAAGCAGTCGAGGACGGCCCAAAGCTTTGGAACCCTGCACCAGCGTGGGAGACCTGGAAGAGGCTCCTGGCTTCGGATCGGCATAGCATCGGCCGTTGCGCTCACTTGGGGAGTGAATCATCAGACGGAAGATCTTCCTCTCTGTTTCTCCTCTCTGTATATCCGCCTTTCCAATAAAAATAAAATAAATCTTTAAAAAAAAAAAAAGATAGTGCTGAGACAAATAGACAGTGGCCAAATCATGGAGCCCTTGCTGCTACACTAAGGAGCATGGATTTTATGTTGTAAACAATGAGGAAACAAAAACAAACAAACGAACAAACAAAATTTAAATGGTAAGTCTTGGAAAGTTTTTTTTTAAGATTTACTTATTTATATTGGAAAGTCAGATATGCAAAGAGGAAGAGAGATAGAAAGATCTTCCATCCGTTGGTTCACTCCCCAAGTAGCCGCAATGGCTGGAGCTGAGCCAATCTGAAGCCAGGAACCAGGAGCTTCTTCCAGGTCTTCCACATGTGTGCAGGGGCCGAAGGATATCTTTCTCTCCATAAATTTGATCTGCCATTGCAATCAGAATAAATCTTTTTTTAAGATTTATTTTATTTTTATTGCAAAGTCAGATACACAGAGAGGAGAGACAGAGAGACAGGAAGATCTTCCATCTGATGATTCACTCCCCAAGTGACCACAATGGCCAGTGCTGCACTGATCTGAAGGGGCCAGGAACCTCCTCCAGGTCTCCCACGTAGGTGCTGGATCCCAAGGCTTTGGGCTGTCCTTCGACTGTTTTCCCAGGCCACAAGCAGGGAGCTGGATGAGAAGCCAGGCTGCCGGGATTAGAACCATGCCCATATGGGATCCTGGTGCATTCAAGGCGAGGACTTTAGCTGCTAGGCCACAGCGCTGGGCCCTAAAAATAAATCTTTAAAAGAAAAAGGGAAAAGAACATTTGTCAACTGTTGCCCTGAGGGTAGACTGGAGGAAAACAGAACAGAGACAGGTTCAGGGAGCCAGGACTGTGGTAGTGGTGAGGAAAAGAACAGATTATAATGGAGGTGGATGGAAGACAATGTGTGGCACAATTGGTTTGAAAGCAAATAGAAAATAGAGTGTCAGATGGCAGAGTTCTCTCTTGCAGCAAGGTGGGTGGAGTTGTTCATCAAGAAAGGAAGCTGGGGCCCGGCGCGGTGGCGCAAGTGGTTAAGTCCTCGCCTTGCAACCCCGGGATCCCATATGGGCGCCGGTTCTAATCCCGGCAGCCCCGCTTCCCTTCCAGCTCCCTGCTTGTGGCCTGGGAAGGCAGTGGAGGACGGCCCAAAGCTTTGGGAACCTGCACCCGTGCGGGAGACCCGGAAGAGGCTCCTGGCTTCGGATCGGCATAGTATCGGCCCGTTGCGCTCACTTGGGGAGTGAATCATCGGACGGAAGATCTTCCTCTCTCTCTCTCCTCTCTCTGTACATCCGCCTTTCCAATGAAAAAATAATAAAAATAAATCTTTAAAAAAAAAAGAAAGGAAGCTGGAAGGAGCTGGCATTGTGGTGCAGCTGGTTAAGCTGACACTTAACCTTTGGCATACCATATGAGCTCCTGTTCAAGTCCTGGCTGCTCCACCTCCAATCCAGCTCCCTGCTGATGCACCTGGGAGGTAGTAGAAAATGGCCAAATGTTTCCCCATCCCTCTTTTTCAGATGAGCTGCCCCGGGCAGAGGGTCTGGGGGCCAGTGAGGCTGCTGAAAGGCTCGGTCGCGGTTGTGTGTGGGACATGGCCGGAGAGGATGGACATCGCTGGCGGGTGTTCCGGACAGGACAGCGGGAGCAGCGAGTAGACATGACTGCCATTGAGCCCTACAAGAAGGTTCTGTCTCACGGAGGTAATGATTAGAGTTAATGCTGTGGTGAGCATGGCGATGTCCAGGACTAAATGGCCTAGGTTGGAGACTCAGTTATTGGGTTCCAAAAACCTTTCTGGGGCCTGGTGTGATGCCCTAGAGGCTGAATCATCACCTTGCACACACTGGCATCCCATATGGGCACTGCTTCGTATCCTGGCTGCTCCACTTCCCTTCCTGCTCCCTGCTTATGGCCTGGGAAAGCCGTCGAGGATGGCTCAAAGCCTTGGGACCCTGCATACACAGGGGAAACCTGGAGGAAGCTCCTGGCTCCTGGCTTTGGATTGGCTAGGCTCTGACTGTTGCAGCCATCTAGAGAGTGAACCAGCAGATGGGAGATCTGTCTCTCCTCTGTGAATCTGCCTTTAACAATAATAACAAAAATTCCTCCTAGAACTTGTAGAGTCTCTTGTCTTTCCAAGGACATTTTTGTATGGACTTTCCCCTTGTCCTCCCTAGGTTACCATGGTGATGGCCTCAATGCCGTCATCCTCTTTGCTTCTTGCTATCTGCCCAGAGGCAGCATTCCCAACTATGCCTACGTCATGGAGCACTTGTTTAGGTGAGGTGGAAGACCTGAAGGGCTAGAGAATGGATGTTCCGGTTGAGAAAGTTAGAAAAATCTCCTTCCAAGATCAGTACTAATGGGAAGGGTCTGGCAATGATATTCCTTGTCCCTACATGAACTCCTCACCCAAAGCCCTACTCACCCATTCTGTCCCCCTCTCCACCAGGTATATGGTGGGGACTCTGGAGTTGTTGGTGGCTGAAAACTACGTACTGGTCCACCTGAGCGGAGGCACAAGCAGGGCCCAGGTCCCACCACTCGGCTGGATCCGCCAGTGTTACCGCACTCTGGACCGGCGGTGAGACCGGGGTGTGAGGGTACCACTGTGCATAGCTCCTCTTTCTTCTTCCATGTAGTCTCTTCCTCGTTGCTTTGTCCCTCCGAGTCCCTTGGCCAGCCTCTCTAAGCCTCAAGCAGAGCGGAGGAAATCAGCTTTTCAAGTCGCACCTTTACCATGCAGTGGCTGCGTGCTTTTACACCTTACTGAACGTTGCCTTGGTCTGTGGGTGAATGCGGCGGCGCGGTTTGACGCACGTGGCCCGTCTTCACTCGCATTTTGCCCTGTATTTCATTCCCACATCTCCATCATCTTCTTGACCTCTTGGCTTTCCTCCCTGACCTACATCTTTTCTTCCCCTAATGTTCCTTTTTACTCCCCTGATCTCTCCCCAACCTGCCCCCCTTTGCTTGCTTGCCTTCTTACTGGTCGTCTCCCACCTAGACATTTATAAACAGTCCTGGCTGTGGAAAAATGTGCCAAAAGCCCCTTGGCAGAGGGGCAGTAGGGAGCAATCTTGAAGGATTGTCTTCAAATGAGAAGTGTGGAGGGCTAGATAAGGGGGTGCGGCCAAAGGGATGGGGCATTCATACCAATCACCAGAGAAATCTAGAATTGAGAGAAGTGAAGGAAGTTCCAGATCTTTAGTTCTGGTAGTAGATGACCTCATCATATTCTTCAGGCTCCGGAAAAACCTGCGCGCCCTGGTGGTTGTGCACGCCACGTGGTATGTGAAGGCACTTCTGGCTCTGCTTCGGCCCTTCATCAGGTAGCTACCAGCTAAGGACAAAGACTCCCTTCCCCCAGTCCCTGTTTCCAAATCACCACTGACAGGCTTGGGCCCCTTTTCCCAACCTTCATCTAGAGGCTTTCCTTTTTCCCAGAGCCTCTGTCCTTCCAGTACAAAATACACCTGGTTTATTCTGTCTTTTCAGTTCCAAGTTCACACGAAAGATTCGTTTTCTGGACAGCCTGGGAGAGCTGGCCAAATTCATCTCCCTGGACCAAGTTCACATCCCTGAAGCTGTGAGACAGTGAGTCCTGAGTGGACAGGCTAAAGGGTTTGGGGTCCCCCTCTTCTCAGTGTTGTGTGGTTGCCCAGGAGGGTGGGAAGGTACATCAAGGAGTTAAGAGACTCTGCTTTGGTACATCTGGGATACCTCACCCACACAGAGAAGAAATTCAGCACAGCTCTGCATTCAAGAACAAACCACTTAGTTTATATAGAAGAGCAAGAGGAAATAAGGAAGGAAGAAAATTATCACAGCACAGAGGCCAGTCCTAGAAAGAAGGAAAGACTGTGCCTGGGAAAGGCTGTCCTAGGGGGTAAAAGCCACTACATGAGGACCCCAAGCTCTAGCTCGTCCAGTTCTTGTGAGATCTGGCTCGCTGCCATCAGTGAGAGAAGCCTAAGGCCTACCCCTTAACCATTGTCTCTCAATTGTAGGCTGGACCGGAATCTCCATGGCTCGGGAGGCACCTAGCACAGCACCAGATAGTGCTTACAATCAAGCACAGACACATCACTCCTGAGACTTCTGGACTGTTCTGTAAATTATCTGGTGCTCAACCCCAGGCTCCCCCCTGAATGGATCTTCACTTGCCAAAGACATAACCCTGTTCCCAGGGTGGAAGGCTGAGCCTAGAGCGACACCCATCACGGCCAGGGAAAAGCCCTGGGTTTTAAACCCCATGTTATCTATAAAGTCCAACAACTTCCCCTCTTTTTCCCCATTTTCCTCTGCTGTGAGAGTAGGGTCGGGTCGGTGATGCTGCCTCATCGGGATTCCAGCCGTTCTATGAGGGGTGAGGGGTACGGGGAAGCAGACAGGGCCTCACTTGCCTCAGCCGGCCAGCCAGCCTGCTGGGAGCTGGGAGTCCGTGAAGAGCCGGTGTGTGCGCTTTCCTCCTCAGCCGTCCCTGCCTCCTGTGAGCCCGGGAAGGAGTGTTTTCTCAAACCTGTTCTCTGTGCCCCCTTTGGTGAATTCGGCCCTGTGAGCGGTTAATAAACTGCCAGGAGAGATTGAAAAGTCTGCTCTGCTCTGACTCTCTTCTCCCCAACCCCTCTTTACATCACAATCCCGGGCCTTGGGTTCTCTGGCCGGTGGAAGTTCTCCCCTCCCGAGGCGCCCCTGAGGCTGGGGATGCGCCCACGCGCGGGCGGGGAGGGACGCACGTGGCACGTGCCAGGAGCCCGTGGCCTCGGTTCAAACGACCCCACCCCGGCGGGTCGGCGTGTTGGCCGAGAGCCGCAGGGAGGGAGAGAAGGTAGGAGCCCCGGCCTCCCTCAGCTGGCCTCCTTCCCGCCCCGAGCCGCCCAGCTCCATGGTCCCCGCCGCCGGCGCGCTGCTCTGGGCCCTGCTGCTGAGTCTGGAGCCCCTGGCGGCGGGGGACCAAAGCCAGACCCAGTCGTCCACCAAGATGCCGCGGGCCACCTTCCGCTTTGGAGGCCCCGGCCCTGCCCGTAGCCACCGGAGCACCGTCGGCCCGCCCCGCACCGGCCTCCCCAGGAAGCCCAAGGTAACCTTGGAGGATGAGAATGACGCGGTGGCCACTGCCGACCGCCTGGCAGGCCCTGCGGCTGCCGAGCTTCTGGCGACGGTGACGGGCATCGCCCGGGGCTCTGAATCCAGCTTCGATGAAGATGAGACTTTGGAAGAGGGGGTTGTGATTAATGCCAGAAAAAATAACAGTAAGCTGGTGGTTCCTCCCACTTCGACCTCCGGTCCCAGCTCCAGCACGGGGAGGTTCGCGGCCAATACACAAGAGCGGGAAATCAGGCTAACCACAAACCTGCCACGGACCACCATGAAACCCAAGGACATTCTGCCCTCTGAGGTCACCCTGAACCGTTGGTCGACCCCAGGCTCCACCCCAAGCCGGTGGCCGACACCCTCGCACACCGCCATGCCACCTCCCGAGGATCTGCACCTGGTGCTGATGCCATGGGGCCCGTGGCACTGTCACTGCAAGGCAGGCACCATGAGCCGGACGCGATCCGGGAAGCTGCAGGGTCTCTCAGGACGCCTTCGAGTGGGAGCCCTGAGCCAGCTCCGCACGGAGCACCGTCCTTGTACTTACCAGGTGTGTCCCTGCAACCGGCTGCGGGAGGAGTGTCCCCTGGATGCGGATCTCTGTCCGGACAACAACTGCTCTCCGACCACCACCACCCAGACCACCACCACCACCCCGCCCTCCATCCGCCCCAGCCACAGAACGCTCAGCCCACCCCCCAGTCCCAGACCGGCTTTAGCTTTTTGGAAACGAGTCAGGATTGGCCTCGAGGATATTTGGAACAGCCTGTCTACAGTGTTCACAGAGATGCAACCAGTAAGTGTTGGGTGATGAGCCTAACACCTGCCCCCCAAATCCTTTGCCCAGCGGCCTAGCATGGCTCGCATGAGTTGTCCATGCCTTTGGGTTACCGACGGAGAATATGTGTGGACTATTGCTCCTATGTGCTTCTCCAACAGTTGCTGGTTGGTTAATAGGAAATGTGTTACTGGTCATGGGAGGATGATTGACCAAATAAGGATTGTAGACACGTAGACTTTGTGATGCTTAATTAATAGGTATGAAGAATCTTTATTTACTTTCATTGCAAAGTCAGATATACAGAGAGAGGAGGATAAAGATCTTCTGTCTGATGATTCACTCCCCAAGTGACTGCAATGGCTGGAGCTGAGCCAATCCGAAGTCAGGAGCCTGGAGCCTCCTCTGGGTCTCCCACGAGGGTGCAGCATCCTAAGGCTTTGGACCATTCTCAATTGCCCTCGCAGGCCACAAGCAGAGAGCTGAATGGGGAGCGGGGCTGTTGGGGCTAGAACCGGAGCCCATATAGGATCCCGGCGCGTTCAAGACGCCATTAGGGGGCCCAGTGCGATAGTGTAGTGGTTAAAGTCCTCACCTTGAATGCCCTGGGATCCCATATGCTCACCAGTTTTAACTCCAGCGGCCCTGCTTCCCATCCATCTCCCTGCTTGTGGCCTGGGAAGAGTCCAGAAAGCTCCAAAGCCTTGGGACCCTGCACCCGCGCGTAGGAGACCCAGAAGAGCTCCTGGCTTCGGATTGGCTCAGCTCCAGCCAATGCTGTCCCTTGGGGAGTGAACCATTGGACAGATCTGCCTCTTCTCTCTGTATATCCACCTTTCCAATAAAAAAATTAAAAAAAAAATCTTTAATAAATCTTAAAAAAAAAATCTTAATCAGTGAATGGTTTTGACCTAATTAACACAGCTTATCACTAACCACCTTATGCAGTATCATCCTCTTTTAGAAAGTGTTACCGGGCCTGTACTAACTGCCTAGTGCTTCCCTTGCAAGTGTCTGGAGCCTATGTGGGTGCTGGTTCATGTCCTGGCTGCTCCACTTCCCATGCAGCTCCCTGCTCATGACCTGGGAAAGCAGAAGACGGCCCAAAAGCCTTGGGACTCTGCACTCGCAGGGGAGATCCCGGACTTCAAATCAGCTCAGCTTTGGCTGTTGTAGCCAACTGGGGAGTGAACCAACAGATGGAAAATCTGTCTGTAAATCTGACTTTTCAATACATAAATCTTACCAAAAAAAAAAAAAAAAGTGGCAGAGCCACAAGTTTGTTAAAACAAATTTGCCTGGCAACAATGCTTGTTCTCTTCACCATCACCATCCCAAAGAACAGTCCTTTGGGATCCGTGCTGGCGTCTTAATGCACCTGAGTGACTATTCATGTGCCCAAGAGCCACCAGAGATTCTAGTTGTCCTAACAGACTCCATTGATCTGGACTGTCAGGACCTTTGCGGGGGTAAAGGCAAGGCAATAAAAAAGGAGCCTACTTCGTCATTTTGCCAGTTTCTGACTTTCCTTTTGGCCAATACTGTTACAACCTAAGAAAAAAAGGGGGGAGGGAGTTGCTTCAAAAGAGGGCGAAGGGGAAGCCAAGCCAGGAAGGGCCCGTACAGATGTGGCTGTAATTTCTGTATTTTCCTTCCATCCAGGAAAAGAAGCAGACGTGATGACCGCTCTACCCACAAGAGTCAGGACCTCGGCCGCCCCTTCCCTTTCAACCCCCCAGCACCCACTAGATATTTTTAGTACAAAACTGGAACAGAAAATCATTATTTGGGCTTGTTCTTTTTTACAGCGGTATCTGAGGGAGGGAAGTCTCTAAGTCTTTTCAATCATAAACTGAACTTTGTCCTTTAGAGGCCTCCGACTCTATCTCCAGGTTAAAATCTTGATGTTGCTCCTCGTCTTGATTTCCAACATGATTTGTTCACAAACCTTTCCAATAATTTTTTTTTTTAATCTCAAATAAATGGCAAGGGGGTAGGAACAACAAGGAATTGAGCCCTTGGAAAAGGGAAGTGTTGGTACAGAATTGCATGTCAGTCACAGTTCTTGTCGGCAACCATATCCCTTCCTGCAACACGCACCAGAGCGATGACTCTACAACTTTTTTGCTTATTTTTTTATTTAAAAAATGTATTTCAAAGTCCAACAATCTTGTAATATAAATTATAACTCTCCAACCATTCCCATCACTTTGTTCTTCAAGTGATGGCAGCCTACACATTAGAGAATGTAGCTAAAGGGAAGAGAGCACCGAGGGGAAAGAGTGTGTCCAAAGAATAGGCATTAGAATGAGGTTGAAGAGGATGATAACCAGATTCCAGGGGTCCCCCCAACCCCACCATCTCTAGATCCCTCAGGCTACTGAGCTACTTGAGGCCGGCAAAATGGGCTTTCAGAGCAACTGGCCTGACAACCAGAGAAAATTGGGACTGTTATCTCTATGACCAATTTCAGACTCTGAAAAACTATAGAGCAAAACACGCTGACATTTAAAGAGATTAGAATCTCAGTCACTGTGGGCGGAGACCAATTGGATGGATGGTGGAGTCAGCACAGCAGATACCAGCTCCTGACCCCCTCCCCCACTACCAAGAAACAGAACGAATGCTTTCCATTAGACAAAACGGAGACCCCAGCCTTCTCGCTTTCTGGTAGGCAAGAGCTCATCTTTCTCGTTCTGCCTTCCTGATTACATTAACAACCTGCAAGAAAAATGACCAGAACAGCAACACCTGAGAAAACTACCTAAAGAGCCTGCTCCTACATCACTTTCCCATCTAAACAGACTCTTTGGCCAGGCAGGGATGGTCCCTGGTCTTCAAAAACTCCCTGAGTCTTATTTGCATCTGGTTGTAGGTCTAGGGTACAGAAGTAACAGTAAAAATCTGGGGAGGATAAGCTGGGGGTGTTTCTGATGCTTTGTTTTCCCCAACTTCCTATCACATGTCTATATGGCAGGGACTCCCCTTCCCCTCCTCCAGAATGGAGAAACAGGCTACATGTCCATCACAGACATGAATCTGTGGAAACACAGCAATGCACTCAGTAATTGGCAATCTTATGCAAGTGCTGCTGAGGCTATCTGACAAGAAGTCCCAGCTCACCCCTGCTCAGGCTTCATGTGGATGACAGTTAAGGTAGGGCTCTCTGCCTTAGGAGACATTTGGCAAAATCAGGAAAGCCCTTCCTTGTAAAGCCTTATCCAGTCCACATGTCCAGAGTGTCTGGCTGAGAAACCACTTCCTGCTCTTAGGCCAGGAGGTCCTTCAGACCCCACATCTCACACAGCCAACTCCCAGTTTTGTTGCATTTGGCATCTCTCTAGACCCCTCTTCCTCTCACCTGGGCCAGCAGGGAGGCTGGCAGAGGGCAAGCCAGGTTCCCCAGGACTAAAATGGAATGTCGAGTTAAGTGCCACCTCTTTAACTTCCCTCAAAGGGCAGAGGTAGTAGCAGGATGGGGGTAATTAAGAGAACTCCTCTTAAACTTAATTTGCTTAAAAGAAGTTACTGGGAAGCTTTATGTTTAGGAACAGACTGAAAGGCCTTAGTAGAGAAGACCCTGGTACTGGCAGATATTGAGGGGCTGTGAGCTTAAGTTCTGGACTCTAAAGAAAGTAGAGTGGACTAGACAGCAGGCACCTGCCCAGCCTCTGCAAGATGTCGGCTTCAGTCCATTCCAGGAGGAAACACAAGGCCAGGGAGGTAGGGGTTTTCCCGCAAAGCCATGTTCAGCTTTGGGATTCTCGCCAACCTGCCTGGTTTAAGGAATTCCAGGTTAAGAGTTAAAAAAAAAAATAGTGGCACCAGACCATCATTTAGGAGCCTACTTCCAGGTGCCCAGAGAGCTCCTTTCTCAGATCCGGGGTGTCCAGGGCTTCAGCAGAGCTCCTCTGGCCAACCGGTGATCTACGTGGTCAGTCCTGCTGCCTGCACCCCATCTCCAGGAGGGGCTGTGACCAGAGGGAGGGCGGGGAGGCCAGCCCCCCAGCCTTGTGAGGCACTGTTAGGCAGGGAGGGGGAAAGGGCCTTGGGGTCCCTGGTTCTAGGAGGGATCTGGGTTGGGGGCAGCATTTCTTCTGGGCTGGACACAGAGTGGGGGCTTCAAGATGCAGAACCTGAATTCAAAATAAAACAAATACATATAAATGTAAATATATATATAAGGAGGAAGGTCTGCCTCAAAGAAAACAGAGGCTTAGGGAGAAGGTATCCACTGACACAGACTTGTAACCACTTCACCCACCCACCTTGTCCTTTCTGGATCCTATAGCCTGAAATCTCCCATTTTCTCTGTGCCCCTCCCCCACCTCTCGGCTCCCTCCCCATTCTCGCATCAAAGGATCAGAGTTCTGAAGCAGGGTATCAGAATGAATGGGTGTAAGGCTAAGGAGTTGGCTGGGTTTCTCTATAGTCACTCACCGCTCCTGTGGGAGCTATAAGCCCCTGGAATTGCTCCATGGCCTATCCCGGTTTCCTTTGGATCTCATCTGCTCCTGAACTGCACCTGTCTGTGGAAAAAAAAAAACAAAACACCTGTGAGACCCCCTCAGACAGCTCCCATGTGCCACCCAGGAGGTCCAGCCTGGGTCTGTGTTTGTGACAAATACGACAGTCTGCGAAGGTTAGCACTAACAGGTGAGTCATTCCAAGGAAGCCAGGACGCTGGCTTGCATAAGCATGACGGATGGGTTTCTGACTCTCGAGACCTCCTCGCAAAGGACTTCCCACATATATCTGAATTTCATGTCGGGTGACAAGATCCCGCCACTCTCCAAAGATTCATTCTTATTCTGAAGTACATCACAGACACTTACTAGGCCAGAGGTGCTCAGTCCTTCCAAGCGCAGTGTCTGTGACACTGAGACAACAATTCTCAATTAGGGGAAGGGAAGATGGTTTTTGCAAAAAGTCCTCTGATTAAGACACACTTAGCCTCTATTCCAAGGAAGAACAATCTACACTTGACCTAGAGGATAAGATGCTGCTTGGGGGTGGGTATTGTGAAACGGGTCAAGCCTAAGGGGCAGACACTGTGGTGCAGTGGGTCCTATATCGAACCACCAGCATGTGATACTGAAGTGAGTTCTGGCTACTTCTCCTTTTAAAAAATATTTTACTATTTTGGGATTGGCGTCATAGACTAGTGGCTAAATCCTTGCCTTGCAAACACTGGGATCCCATAGGTGTGCAGGTTCATGTCCCAGCTGCTCCACTTCCCACCCAGCTTCCTGTTTGTGGCCTGGGAAAGTAGTAGATGACCCAAAGCCTTGGGACCCTGCACCTGCCTGGGAGACCTGGAAGAAGCTCCTGGCTCCTGCCTTCAGATTGGCTTGGCACTGGCTGTTGCAGCCATTTGGAGAACCAGCAGATCTTTCTGTATCTCCCCTCCTATATATCTGCCTTTCTAATTAAAAAAAAAAAAGTCTATGTATTTTTTAATTTGAAAGCTAGTTACACAGAGAGGGAGAGACAGGCAGAGAGATCCCATGTGGGTACAGAGGCCCAAGCATTTGAGCCATTCTCTGCTGCCCTCCCAGGTGCTTTACTGGGGAGCTGGATCAGAAGAGGCGCAGTAGGGAGTTGAACCAGCATCCATATGAGACACCAGCGCTGCAGACAGGAGCCTAACCTAGTATGCCATTGCCTTACCCCCCCCCCCCGCTTTATTAAAGATTTACTTATTTTTATTGGAAAGGCAGATTTACAAAGAGAGGGAGATACAGAAAGAAAGATTTTCCATCCAATGGGTATTCCCCACGTGGCTGCAACAGCCAGGGCTGAGCTAATCTGAAGCCAGGAGCTTCTTCCAGGTCTCCCATGCTTTGGGCCATCCTCGACTGCTTTCCCAGGCCACAAGCAGGGAGCTGGATGGGAAGAGGTATAGTCAGGAATTATCTGGCACCCATATGGCATCCCAGTGTTTGCAAGTGAGGATTCAGTCATTAAGCCACTGCAGGTCCCTTATACTGCTACTGAGACAGCTTCCTGCTGATGCGTCCAGCAGGCAGCAACAGATATTCCAAGTATTTGGGGGATCCTACCACTCACATCACTTCCTGGCTCCTGCCTTCAGTAGGGCCCAGGCCTGGCTGTTGAGGGCATTTGGGGAATTAACCAGAGGATGAAAGATTCTTTTCTGTCTCTCCTCCCCGCATTTCTGTCACTCCAAAAGCTTTCCCTCTCCATCTGCCTGTCTCTCTCTGTAACTCTGCTTTTTAAAGTAAATAAATTGGAAAGACAGTAAATACATGAATCTAACAATAACAACAAAAAGCTTTCTGAAATGTTATTTGTTGAGTCCTGGCTGTACTCCAATTCTAGCTTCCTGCTAATACACTCTGCAGGTATTTCAAGCACTTGGGTCCCAGCCAACTGTGTAGAAGACCTAGATTGGGATCTTAGCCTGGTGGCTTAGGCCTGTTGCAGTCCAGGCTGTTGAAGGCACTTAGGGTGTGAAACCAGTAGATAGGAGCTTGTTGCCTGTCCCTCTGCCTTTTAAATAAGATTTAATACAAAACAATGTGGGTTTTTTTGTTTTTTTTTTTTTTTTTAAAGAACATTCTGCTAACTCTATATGAAGGAACCTAGCCCCACAGGCCTGAAACGGCAAGTATCAGGATCACACAGCTGGTGACCAGGAGATCCCAGGGGTTCTTACTTCCCCATCGGGTGTTCTGTTATGCCCCTTGCTTGAACTTTCAGAAAAAGGAAACAGTTCTAGACCACACCCACCCCACCTCTCCCCACTCCCCCGTTACCATGGCCAGTCCATCTCCTGCTCCCATCTCGCCAGAGCCGATGTGAGTCAGGTGGACAAAATTCATGGGTTCTCCAATCATGGTCCTGTCAATCCGCCTTCTCTTCTTCTTCTGTTTAGAGGAGAGAAGGAGTTGTGGCTGAAGCCCTCTCCTCCAGTTGCAGCGGAGGAAGGGAAGAGAGTCCTAAAGAATCTTCAGGAAAGCACTTGGGCCCAAGGGGAAGAGGGAGGGTAGTACTGTAAGGGGGAGGGGAGGATCAGCAGGGAAGGCGGGCAAAGCTGGAATAAGCACCCTGAGCATAAAGAAGGACCAGAGTGGTGAGGGCAGCAGCCTGCTACTGAATAATAATGAACAGGGAAAGGTCATGGCAAAGTCACCTGTGGCTGATGAGGAAACAATGGGGGAACAAGCACATAGAAAATCTATCCATCGCCTGGCCCTAGAGGCGATCTGGTTCAAGGCTCAGGGAAGTGTGCCCTCTGGACAGCAGACCCTGACGGTAACTGACCTCTAGGTGCCTTAGGGTGTGGGGACTTACCGGCTGGGGTTTCTCTACCACACAGCAGCCCAGTTTGTGCCAAAAGTCGCTCATGTTCCCTGATGGTTCCAGCTTCACGCTGCTGCCCCGCGCCCCCACGGGGCTCTTGACCCACGGCTCCTAGTTCTCCCTAGGTGTTAATGACACTCTCAGGTTCGCTCAGCAGGACAGGTGTGGAGTCCTCAGCCACACGGTGAAGGGCAGCGTCTCAGGCCCTGAGAGACTAACAGGGCAGCTGGAGATGAGGCTGTGTCTTCATTGAACTTGGACACCTGGAGAAGCAGAAAGTTAAAAAGAAAAAAGGCCACTCCCTCATTCCCTGACCCCTGAGAAACCTCCTGAGGAAGCCACAGCTTCCGGTCCTCCCGGAGAGGCTCCAATCCTACAACCTGCTGTCCACCTTTTCCAACACAAGAAGGCCTCAACGCTTGGGGAAAGGGAAGAGCAAGACACAGAGATCTTGGTGGAAAGTCAAGAAGCAAGGCTTGTAGGGTGAAGGGCCAGGAGAGACCAGAGGGCAGTGCCAGAGAGCTCTGGGGCAGAGGGGAGAGACATCTCAGTGACTCTGAAGAGGAAACAGTGGTTTCTGTTCTCATAAACAAGGACTCCACCCTGCCCCTCCCTCTTGCCTTACCTTGCCCCGCACATCTGGATTTTTGAATACAAGACAGCCCTTGATCACCTGGGTCGCAGGAACTGCAGCAGGTCAGACCTCAGCCAAGGCTGGCTGCGGTGAGGAATTTCTTCCCCCTCTCGGTTCACTGCCCTGCTGCTCCTCCTCCTCCTCCTCAGAGATCCAACCCCTCCCAGAAGCCACAGAACAGCTCTTTTATGACTTGACCTTGACAGCCTCTCCTGAAGGCCGTGTATGCCCAGTTTATCTGTGTCCTCTCCCTCTGACTGCACTCCAGGCGAGGCGTTTGCACACGCATGGCCCCGGGGCAGCCACGCCTTCCCCAGCGTCCAGCGTAGGTCACCTGTGTACAAGCTGTAGGTGTATGTGCCAGTGGTGTCTTTGGGCCCATGGCTACCCTACTCTTCACAGGCCCCCAGTGTCCAGGGGCCGCCTCCTCCCTCTTCCTCCTCCCCCTCATGCTGTGACCTGTTCTCTCCTCCCTCCTCACCACTTCCAGCCCCCACCATGGGCAACCAACTGGATCACAAGGAACTTTCCAACAGCATGTCTTCCCTGGGCGGGTCAGGGTAGGGTTCTGTCTGGGTCTCATCTATCACTGGATCCCCTTAGTCCTACCTCAAGGACTCCTCACACAGCCTTGTCAAGCCTGTGACACTTGAGCACAGAAGACTCTCCTTTCCCTCCCAGGTCCACCATCCCAATACGCTGGCATCCTGTACTCATCTCGGTTGGGTTGGTAACAGCCTGGGGATGCCGCCACAGGAACCCTGGAGTGCAGCTTCTAGGGGTTGGGGAGGACCCAGGAGCCTGGGCTCTCTCTCTCTCTCACTTCCCTTCCCACCCCTGGCAGGGAGGAGTCACTACCCAGGGCGGAAGTCAGAACACAGCTGCCCTCAGAGGGGAGCTGCGGTCAATGGGGAGGGCAGTCGGTCACAGGGTCCGCTGTGAGGGTGCTGGTGATAGTGGCAGGTGGTAAGGGGGGGACGGGATGGAGAAAACAATGAAGAATCAGAGGAAACCCCCCACACCACCCCAGGCTTTGCTGAGCCCGGACTCTCCCAGCATTCCTCACTCCGCTCCAAGCTGAGTGGACAGAGGTGGATGCAGCTGGGAGGGGAGAGCGGGAAGGGGGGAGGCAAAGAGGGAAAGGGGCAGTGAAGGGAACAAGGACGTTTCTGTTTCTTTTTCAGGGACCTAACCAGAACTGGCTGGAAGGAAAGATGTATGTGTGTGTGTGTGTGTGTGTGTGTGTGTGTGTGTATGCAGAGAGACTGACTTGGCGTGAAATAACTAATGATGAAGACAAGTGACCAGGAAATTCCATTCCCTAGGACATGAGGGTGTCTGATGCTTGGGGTCCAGGAACCAGGACAGGAAAGGGCACGAGAGAAACTGGCTGTCTCTGTCCCATACAGAAAAGCCGAGTAGGGTGAGGAAAAATGAAGTCCTGGCCCAGTGACGCCAGGAGGAAGGGGCACCATGAGATGGAGGGTGGGGGCTAGGAAAACAGGAGTAGGAACCAAGATGAGCAAGCCCAAGACCACATTCCCACAGCCGGCAGTGCTGCGCAATGAGCCCCTCTGCTAGAGTGACCCACCGAACTGGGAGGACACCTCCACCAAGATCACGGTGCCCCGGCAGTCTCAGGGCTGGGGGTGCGGCGGGTTGGGGGGGCGCGGATGAACAGGAGGAGAGATGGGGACAAGGGGCCGGGAGGAAGGACGTACAGAGGTGGTTGCAGGTCCTGCGGTAGCCCCAAACCGGTTTTCCCGGTCCTGCTGCCTCCTGCCCCAAGGCCTGCAACCCCGCCGGCTGACAAGCCTTCACAAGAAGCAGCTGGAGAAAGCGAACTGAGAGAATGGAGCGGGCAATGCTGGCTGGAAGCCCGGGGATGCAGCTGGTCCTCCTGAGGCGACCCCTGCCTCCCCCCCACACACGGAGGGGTGCCGAGGGGCCCGCTCCCGTGTTACAAACTAAGCGGCACCCCTTTGCCCTCCCATCACCCCTGCCCTTCTCCCAGGAAAGGTCTTGCCGGGGTTTAAGAGGAAACAGAACTAGGCCCTGAAGCTTCCCCTCCCCCAATATATTCGCTCCCCGAGCTCCTCCCCGCACCCAGAAACTCCCCGTACAACCTCAACTAGGACTGGCACCTGGCTGTGAATCCTCCTGTCTTCCGCGGCTGACTCGATCTCAGGTTTAGACCATCCAGGACGCTGAGCCACTGTGTGGAGTTCGGCCACCACCGAGCTGACCGCGCTGAGCAGAGACCCTATCTCCTCCCACCTCCCCAACAACCCGGCGCCTTCCGGCCCCTTGGCCTCTGCCAGTTCAGCGCTCGGGCGCGGAGAACTGTCACCCTGGGAGCGCCCTGTTCTCACGCACCCGGCATCTCGACCGTCCAGGCCACCTTCCTCACCCTCCCCACCCCCAGCATCCGGTGCGCGTTGGCCTGGCCCGGTAGGACGGGCGTACGGCCAGGAGGAGTTGAGGGTCCCATTCCCAAGGTCTCACCTGCTCTTCTCGGGCATCGGGGCGTCCCGCTGCAGTTTCTTCGGGGGCTCCCGCGTGGTGTCGGCCAGTGCCGGGGCTCCCGGGCTGGCTCTCGGCGCGGTGGGGGAGCCGAGGGCGAGCAGGCAGAGGTGGGGCTGCCGAGGGCGGAAACGGCGGCGACGCGATTACGAAACCCGTCCGGCTGGGAGCGGAGCGCACAGCTCCCCCTGGACTGTTGAGACAGTCTCTGCACCGAGGAGGGACGTGGGAGGGGGCCTGGGCAGGGCTCGAGAGGCTACCGCCCCTGCCTGGCCAACCGAGAACGTGGATAACTCGAGCGGGATTTGGGGCGCGGGCCAAACACCCCTATTATTTATTGCGCGTTCCCTTTGCGCACTGGACACTAAGGAAGCCGACCCGCCTCTCCCCAGTCCCACACGCTCCAGTACCCGCGACCTAACCAAGTGCTTGGATTCGCAGGACCCCAGCCCCCTCCCATCTCTTCCGCTCCACCCAAAATGGAACAGATTTACCATTGTGAAGATGGAGAAAGTAGGGATCGGGAGAGGGGTGGGGAAATTTTTCTGATTTTCACAAGCACCTGGTAATGTTAAGTCCTTAAATTGCGGCCGCTACTCTCCATTGTTGTCTGGAGTTACAATTTTTGAACCTTAAACTCAAAATCAAAGGACAGTTAGCTGCTTATTGCACTGCACCCCCCGGTCAGGCTGGGGGATGTGGGGTTGGTGCTGGAAGCGATTGGCAATCATCGCACAGACCAATAAACCTACAGGGATGCTTTAAGCCTTTTCGCCCTCCCCAAAGTGTTCTGGAACCTATCGTTTGAATTAGCCGAGTCAGCCAGGGAGGGGGCGGGGAGTCCTTCCGCTCTTAGGAGGGGCTGCATTGCAGGGGGAGACTGGGCGGACAGCCTCAGTCAACGAAGAGGGAGAGGGATTGAGAAGACAAAGCCGTTGCTCCCCAACACCTGTCTTCCTCTCCAGCCCAGAGCAGACCCCAGAGGCCCCAGCCATCCCTGGCTCTCCGTCTTTGGAACACGCTAGTAATTTCTCAATAGCAGGTAAACTCCAGCTGAGGGAGGGGAATGGGGGGTGCTGAGGATGGTAGTGCAGTGCAGCTTCTTAGGTCTGGGAAGGAAGGATGCTTGTGGCGCGTGGGTGGGTGGGGTGTGGGTGCTAGGAACAATGGCTAGTGGTTTGTCAGCGTTTCCCATCTTAGATCTCATCCATGCCTTGCTGTCCAGCACACGGATATTTCATTCTTAACGATTTACGGGTAATGATTTCTTAGCATTTGCCTCCTGTCAAGTCTGTTTTCCAAGAATTCCATGTCCTTTATATTTAGCATGTGCCATCTAGTCGCCTATGTGATCTTTTTTCCAGCTATAATTTACACCAGTTATTTGATGATCCTGTAGTCCTGTGTCTTGTAGCTTCTAGTTCCCTACAGCTCCAGTCTCCCTCTCCCCAGAGGTGCTCTCAGTGGGAAAGCGTTATGGGGGAGAAGAGCTGGGTAATCCCGACCTTTGAAAGTCTCTTCTACCCCATCTTAAACCTTTGCACTGAGGAAGGGGGCAGCCTGAAGTGAGAACCGTGGGAGCCCTATCCCATACGGAAATCAGCCTCTGCCCACAGGACCTAGGTATGGGGACAGATTTTGGAAAAGGCATGCTTATTGTCAGCTTAGTAGAATAACTGGGGGGCACAGGATAAAATGCCAGGAGGGCTTGCATTCCCCTCCAACAGCACCCCTAGTGCTTCCCCTCCTCCCCATGGTGGCAGCATGACACAGCAAGGCCCTGTAGAGTAGGCCCTGGATGCTCACCGAGGGTCTGGACAAAGGGAACCTGGGTGTGTCTGTGTGGCTCATGCAGTATCTTTTTTCATCTGTGTAGTCACTAGCCTGGAAGCATCTGATGACAGAGATACTTAGAAATGACTTTGGTCTAAAATAGATGGACAACGTAAAACCCAGGATAGTGGGAGCCATTTATGGAGCATGTGAATGTATCATGGTGCAAGGCACCGTCTAAATCTCTTAAGATAAATCTTAAATGATAGATTAGTAAATGGTAACACTAAAGAGAGGGAATGTAGATGGAGAGCATTTGGGAAAAGGAAGGGATAGCTAGCTGAAAATGAGACCTTTTGCTAAATTTGAAGAACTCGGGAATTAAATCCATAATATATGAAATCAAAATTTTCATAATGGATATCTTTACATTATTACATTTTTACTTATTACATTATTACTTTTTTAAATTGGCATCACCATTCTATGTAGTCTTACTTCATGCTTTTGGCTTCATTTTAATGCCGTGGAGACTTATATCTTTCTGGAATGCATTTTATGCTATTTGGACATCCTCTGGATCAGAGGGCATAAGTAGAGATTTAGGTCTTATAATATTTTATAGGATTTCCTTTAGTTTTTACATTGTTAAGACGGCTTTGTCACACATTCAGGGACTGTTTGGCGGGTAAATGCCTAATGTGATATTAAGAACAGGCGTCAGTTAGCCGGACAATCTCTTTGTCACACTCTAGCTTGCTCTCTGTTGCCTTTGCCTTTCACCATTCAGATCAGAATCACGGGAGTCATTAATGTTGGCCTCGTCCACAGGATACTAAGAATTCTTACAAGTTTTGAGAATAGGGTCTTCTTAGGCCTTACAGCATCTATGCACAACGTAAGGCATCAAACAGGAGATTATAGCACCTGGCTTCTATGTAAACTGGCTGGAAGGCGTCCCACATCACAAGCTCATTTCTAAGGTAGTCTCTAGTTTTAGAATTCTGTGATGCTTTTTTCCTAGGACTCTTTGTTTTGTTGTTGTTTACAGAGTCTAATATGTGTCTGGCATTACACTCTGGAGGAGACTTGCAAGGGGTGGAAGGATGTAAGTCAGGGAGCTAGAAAAATAACTGGCAGTGTAGTAAAAACCACCGTGATGGAAGTCAGTAACACTGTTGACTGCTAAGGTTTGCTTCTTGGGATCTCTACAATCTCAGACCCAGGGATTGTTTGGCCAAGGGGCATAACCATTTTTGGTAGCTGCCTGGGTGCGCATGCTCAGTGACTGTGGGGATGTTCAGAGGTGAGTATCATGGGATGATGACCTCACCTTTGCAACTGCCCCACCCTGTTCTACTGCCTGCATCCTCCACCTTCTGAGCAGCTTCTCTGCTGAGTAATGCTCAGTTCCCAGGCTTTGTTTTGGAACTTGAAACTAAGGAGAAAAAGTACAACTCGGGATTCATGTCATAAAGTTCCTCACCTGCTCGATCATCTCTCTATGGCCCCCACATGCTCACACTTGATTTTCTAGATTAGGCTTTCTTTCACAGCCTTACCTGAGACATTTTCCACGATAGAGGGAGCTTCTGGGGCCTCTTGGACTCTCGGGTCTGGTGAGAGCCAATGGGGTAGGTATGTTGGAAAAGAGCCTTTTAAAACTTGGGAATTCTATTTCTGGAGGTGGTAGAATGTTCTTTCTGCTCCTTAGGGAACATGTCAACTAAATGGTTCTTGCTCTTTTTCCTTGGCTAGACAGTAGCAGGGTGGAGGCCATGGATAGCTGTAATCATCATGTAATGTTGGGCAAAGTGTGGGCAGGATGAGCGGAAAAAGTGATTGAACTGCTCATTAAAGCATGGAGAAGTATCTGCTTCTGTAAGGGGCCTTCTTCCAATCTAAACTTTACCACTTCACTTGCAATTGACAGTGCACTGACTTTGCCTGTTGTCAAGTATATGCAAGCTCTGAGTCTAGAGGAAAGAGATCCTGTGCATAGCACAGGAAAGTTTTCGAAGCACCTGGCTTTTTGTTCAGAAGGTGTGATAGGCTAGACAAAAATAGACTCTTAAGGCTTATCTGTGGACTAATGGAGCTAAGTGGCAGAGGATTCTAGTAAATACCAGTGAAAAATCAAATAGCAACCATGAATGCCTATTTGTACAAGCCTAGCACTTACTGTACCCAGAGAGTACTCATTCTTAGTCTTCCACTTGAAGATCAGACTGTGATAAGTGGTCCATAACCCTGGAATTACTGACTTGGGTAAAACTCTGCAAGGTGTCTGGGGGCACATGTTAGAGGAAATAGGGAAAATGGATATGAGTAAGTTTAACGAAGTCATCCTGGAGGAGGGGGGTTTTCAGTAGGGTTTATAAGGCAAGAAGCAAATCAAAGTGTCATGAAGACCTTTTCAGTGATAGCAGGGCTGTTAGACCAAAGACAGGCAGAAGTGCCTGTCCATAGAATAGCAGCTGGAAAAGGGGAGACTCCTCCAGGATCTTGGAGCCCTGAAACTTGGAACCTATTGTAAAATGGGAAAGTGAGGAATGTTAGGCAAGATAAGAATGTGTGTAACTATCGCCAAACTTGTACTACACTGAAAAAGAGTGGGGCCAGATTTTGTGAGGCAGCAAAAATGAGACCCAGGATCAATTTGTTGCAGGAAGCAGGACACAACTCATTCTGCCCTGAGGGAAAATTAGGAAATGGTTGGAAGTGCTCAGAGGAAGGGTGCAGTTGTCCTAGGCAACTTGGATTCCTTGGAGGCAAATGGGGATGTTTTAAGTATGCAAAGGCCATGGGCTATCCCAAGACTAACCAAGTGTGGTTCTTTCCATCCAGGAAGCTATGAGGGACCCCGTGAGTAGCCAGTACAGCTCCTTTCTTTTCTGGAGGATGCCCATCCCAGAACTGGATTTGTCGGAGCTGGAAGGTTTGGGTCTGTCAGATACAGCCACCTACAAGATGAAGGACAGCACCGCTGGCAACGGGACCGGGCAAGCAGCTGGAACAGAGAAAAACCTCGATGGCGACACTCTCCTTGAGTATAGCACCTTCAACTTCTGGAGAGCTCCCATTGCCAGCATCCACTCCTTTGAACTGGACTTGCTCTGAGGCTGACCTGTCCCTCCCACCGGCTTTCCCTCACTGTCTTGCCTTTCAAGCCCTCTTCCCTTCCCAGCCATTTCCCACTTGAACCTTGTCCTTTCTCCCTGTATTGTGTTGGTGGTGCTGATGAATCTGCCAGAGTTGAGTTCTATTTATTTACCCATTTACTCCTGTATTTATTTATTTATTTATTTATTCACTCATTCACGTATCTATCTGTGAATGTTTCTCTCAAGCCACAAGGCAAAAGCAAAGGCAATGGGGGTATTGGCTCACAGGGATTCTTCCTTCTAGCCTCACATGTGAACTCTAGAAAAAAGCAGGCTGTGCAGGGATGCCAGGGAGCAGTACAGTAGTGCAATATGGGAAACTTTTTTTTTTAAAATACCATTTGATCAGTTTCAGCGATTGCTCAGACTTGCTTAACTTCCTGCTCCAAGCCAGCGAGCAGAGAGCCCTTCAAGAATTATTGCAAACCTGGGGAAGTTTAAACCTGAAGATGATCTGCTACCAAACAGGAGGTTTTCTACAAGGCTTTTTTTGTTTTGTTTTTATCTTGCTCCTTCTTGTAATACACCTTTTGTGAGAAACTAGGAGCATATATATAAACACACATGTAGATCAAGAGAAAATAATATGGAAAATGGAAATAGGGAAACATATTCTATCACTTCAGAAATAGTTTTTTCTTTCTCCAAAAGGGTGTTCCTTCTGTAGGCCTACTTGATAACTTTACTCTTAATGAACGGGTTGAAAGCTGTGAGGGAGACGAGATTGCTAATCTCCAGATGCACTCTTGCTGGGTGTTACAATCATCTGTAAGGTTTTGGTCATCTTCTGCGTGGTCCTTCGTGGTTTGGTCTGCCCTCCTCCATGTGCACTCTGCAGCGGTCATCAGCGGGCCCCCAGCACAGTGCTGACCCCGCCCGTCACCATGAAGTAAATGACTTTACTCCTACCCTGCGCCTGTCCCCAGTCCTCCCAGCGCTACTGCGACCCATCTGTGCTGCTATTTACTCATTTATTTAATTAAAGACATTCGCTCCCAGGACTGGATTCTGGTTTTCTCTTTAGAGAACAATATACAGCTCAGAAGTTAGCCTTAAAAAAAAAGTTAGCCTTGCTTTTGCATGTAATTGATGCATTTTAGCTGACATTTAACTTGGAGGAATAATGATTTGAAGAGCATTTAAACATTCCATGGTGAACTAAAGTAACAAATGTGCGATCATTAACATCAGACAGGCAGAAATCTACAACTTATAATTCTAATGTAACTTTTGCCCATTGACTACCAAAATTACATTTTTTCCTAAGATTTATTTATTTATTTATTTTTATTGGAAAGGCAGACATACAGAGAGGAGGAGAGACAGAGAGGAAGATCTTCCGTCTGATGATTCATTCCCCAAGTGAGTGCAATGGCCGATGCTATGCCGATCCGAAGCCAGGAGCCTCTTTCTGAGTCTCCCACACAGGTGCAGGGTCCCAAAGCCTTGGGCCGTCCTCAACTGCTTTCCCAGGCCACAAGCAGGGAGCTGGATGGGAAGCAGGGCTGCTGGGACTAGAACCGGTATCCATATGTGATCCCGGGCGTGCAAGGTGAGGACCTTAACCACTGGGCCACCACGCCAGGCCCAAGATTTATTTATTTTGGTTGGAAAGTCAGATATATAGAAAGGAGAGACAGGAAGATCTTCCATCCTATAATTCACTCCCCAAGTGCCTGCAACAGCCAGTGTTGAGCCGATATGAAGCCAAGAGCCAGCAGCTTGCTCCTGGTCTCCCATATGCATGCAGGGTCCCAAAGCCTTGGGCCATCCTCCACTGCTTTCCCAGGCCACCAGCAGGACACTGGATGGTAAGCCAGGCTGCCAGGATTAGAACTGGCGCCCATATGGGATCCTGGTGTATTTGCAGGGCAACAAGGACTTTGGCTACTAGGTTACCGCACCAGGCCCCCGAATTACATATTAAGCAATAATTCTTGTAGATGCCTGAAACTAATCTACCCAAAGCCACTGTCTACTTATTTATAACCTCATTACAAAAGACCCTATTGTGTGGACCTAGTCTATGAAAGACGCCTAGGACCTGTGCTGTGGCTTAGTGCACTAGGCTACCACCTATGACACCCAGCTGTTCCATTTCCCAATCAGCTACTGTGCTAATGTGCCTGGGTAAATCAGCCCCAGTGGCTCCTGTACACGGGTGGGAAATGCCCGTGGAATTCAGGGTCCTGGCTTGAGGATGGAAGACGGCTCCACCATGACTCTGCATTTCCAAAGGAAAAAATCTTTCACACGCTGAGCCAAGCATGCTGAGAATATAAACAGGAATGAGGTCCTAGCGTGACTCTGAAAATGGTAAATACCAACATGTACTATATTCTGTTAATACTTCAAATACGGCCAGACTGGGAACTGAGTAAGTTCCTGAGAGGAAGAGATGGAAATACTCCCTCTCAGCCTCAAAAGGCCCAACACTCATCTCTAAAGCCGACGTCTAACGGCGATCGTGCCCGGAAGGGTGGCGATGTGGCCCTCACAGTTTCACCCGAGTTTTGAAGGGTTTCTTTCCTGACTTCTCATGTAACCATGGCAAGTGGGTGGAGACAGGGAAAAGCCATTTGGTTTATAATGTGACTAAGACGATCTGCAAACACAAGATCCCATTCTCGGGGCCCACTGCTCCCCAAGCCCTGACTGTGGGCGCCACGGGCTGCCTTCGGGGTCTCGGCATTTAGGGCTGCACACACGTGCCCGTCAGACAGCGCCCCACCAGTGCCCAAGAGCCAGGAAAGGCCCAAATCGTTTCCACGCGTGGTCCGGACAAGGAGCAGGGTTGACCCACTCTCCCTATCGCTACCCCGCAGAAAGAAAAATCCACCAGTTCGACGCCAACTGCAAAAGCGGGAGCGGACCCGACCGCTCGGCTGCCCTGCCGGGTTCTTGGCGCCAAAACCACCCTCGGGCGCCGGCCCCGCCGGAACTACACCACACGCAGGCGGCATGGTAATCCTCCGCGCCGTCAAGTAGTCCCCCCTCCCCCACGAAAACCCCTGATTCGCGCTCTACCGCCACAAGAGGCCTTCGGGAGATAAGAAATCAGCTCTGGGGTGCATCTTATTTCCTTTTGAGAGGCAGTATGGGGGCTTCGGGGCGCTCTCCCTCCAGATTCCTCCGCCAGAAATCCTCGCTCGCGCCCTCACTTCCGGGTCCGCCATTTTGTTGCTGCCATTTCTCCAGGAGGGGGGGGTGAAGGCCCCCCAAATATGCATATATGAAAAGTCCAAAAAGTAACCGTCACTGACAGGGAGTCTTAAGTAAAGAAGGAAACGAGACCAAACTGGCGGGTTCAGCGAAAGCGCAGCCGGCAGCGTCCCGGACGAGGAGGTGAGGGGAGCGAGAGATGCGTGGACTCTGGTCGGGCGGGGACGGGCGTCCGCGCTGGCCACGGACCGGTGCCGGGAGGGAGCCGCCCCGCTTCCCAGCGCAGCCCCGACCTCGTGGGTGCGGACCGAGCGGGGCCGGCTCGGGGAGGGGGCCGAGAGGAAGGGGATGCTGTCGGGAGGAAGGGGAGGGGACTGGGAGAGCGTGAGAGCTCGGGCTGCGGAGCCGGACCGCGGGCAGCCGGGCCCGCCGAGGGGACCGCTAGGGGGCGACGCCGGGCTGCCCCTCACGCCGGCCGCCCGTCAGCCCCCGGCGTCTTGCACAGCTGTTTCTGCAGCTGGCCCTAAGGGTGTTGGGGAGGGGAGAATGTGTGCATTATGAAAAGGGGCGGGGGGGGGGCGGATAAAGAAGATAAAAAAGAAAGGGAGAAAAAATGTGAGCCCTTTCCCGATACCCGCATCCTGAGCTCACAGATTTCCCTGGGCCAGCAGAGGTCGGCCGAGTCCTCTCCTCTGGGCTCTCTCTCTCTCTGGAATTTCTGCAAGAATGGACGTTGTCTGGCCTCAGCGATTTCCCAACACTTAGGGCTATCTGGGAGTGTTTTTTTCATGGTACCATTCAATCTGCCCACTCCAGCATGGATGTCTCTTAAGCGTGTATTTGCATACACACTTCACTGACAGGGAGAGGACTGCCCCGCCCATGCTTTGAGATAAACAAGCTTATGTTTGTCTGATAATACAATACTTTGTTTTCAGGAGCTCCAGGGCTCCATACATTATATGAAAACACACTTACTGGAAGTGTCTGAGAGGGCGAATGGGTGCTTTGTTCTTTTTCTCATCTGCAAAAACTAGAAGGCGAGCTAGAGCAGACATTGCCTCCTTGTTGCATATAGAGGAAAAGTAGAGGTGCTTACCATAGAGGGTTTGCCCTCTCGTTAGCAGCCAGGGAGTCGGAAATCACAGTGCCCATGCTGTTCCCTGTCCTGCTGGACCTCTCCTGTTCCATGGTTTTTGACTCCTTAAATATAGGACTTTGGGAGCATTGTACATAATGACTCGAAAATGCCTTTTTTTCTTTCTTCCCTCTTTCTTTCCTTCTTTTCTTTCGTTTTTTCTTTTTTTAAGATTTATTTTTATTGGAATTGCAGCTATACAGAGAGAAAGCTCTTCCATTTGCCGCTTCACTCCCCAAGTCCCCGGAGTGGAGTCAATCCAAAGCCAAGAGCCAGGAGCCTCTTCCAGGTCTCCCACATGGGTGCAGGGTCCCAAGGCTTTGGGCCATCTTCTGGCTGCTTTCCCAGGCCACAGGCAGGGAGCTGGATGGGAAGCGGAGCAGCCGGGACACGAACTGGCATCCATATGGGATCCTGGCACTTGCAAGGTGAAGATTTAGCCACTGAACCATCACACCCAGCCACAAAATGCCTTTTTAAATTTTTTCTTTAATTTTGTTTTTGATGATGTTTACACAGTTGATTAGGGTGGGAAGAGTTGAGGACTGGCAAAAGTGGATGGGACTGCTGCTTCCACACCTTTCTCATCTTCCTGTATCTGAGGGGAGACAAGGGGAGAAGCCACATCCCGCCTCCCAACCACCACAGTGCCCAGGAATGGGGAACAGCCACCCAGTGTCATCTCAGAGTCCCTGGTGTGTAGCATGTTCTGAGGAGTCTAAGTCTAAGATGCCTTGTCAGGAGCCGTGTACCATAGCCACACTGAAGCCATTTTGAATATAGACCTATGGGCCAGTGGAAAATCCCTGGCTGGCTAGATGCTTGGGAAAGAAGTTATGAAGCTAATCACACGCTTAGCTTCAATTGTTTGTAGCAACTGTTTTAGAATGTGATTTATGCTGTACCTGCCGACATCTTGTTACTGATTACCTATGCTATTGTTGATATGCTGGTAACTATTGTGGATATGGTGGCTGCTCAAGAACAATCGGTCTGGAGACCATGGCTTGCGTCCTAGTTTCTCCTTTCCTCCCTGAGCCTTAGTTACTGAAGAGTATAAAAACCCTCAACTAAAATCAATAAACTGACAGCTTGATCAGACATCCTGTCTTGCTGTCCATTCTTCGTGTCTCTTGTCCCCCAATCTCTCCTAGGTGGTTGCGACCCCCGTTGACTGTCCTACTAGACGGGACAATGCCTTTCTTTTTTCTTAAAAAAAAAAAAAGCAAAAAAAAAAATATACGTTTCTCTTAAGACAGCTATTTGAAATTAAGAAAATGGTAGCTGGGATGAGGTAAAGAAACCTCAAAGAGCATGTTTCTGGACCTTTTCTGTATCAGGAGATGAGTAATATAGTATTTATATTTATATTGTAGTATTATAGTTCCCTATTTTAATTATATGTCTGTAGGAAAATAGACTTTGCATGGTTGACTTAAAAATAGGATGACAGGGGTCTGTGTTGTGGCAGGCTGCATCAGGCTGCCCTTTGGTGCAGGAATTCTTGTGAGTCCTGTGCTCCACTTTAAATCCAGCTTCCTGCTGATGTGCTAGGGAAAGCATGGAAGATGGACCTGGCCCCTGGCATGGGAGTCCCTGATGGAGTTCCTGGCTCCTCAGGATGGCCATTTGTTCATTTGGGTGGGAACCAGTGGATGGAAGACTCTGTGTGTGTGTGTGTGTAGGGGTGTGTAGATGTGGGATCTGCCTTTCAAATACATAAATCCTTTTTTAAAAAATTATTTATTTTCATTGGAAAGTCAGATTTAGAGACAGAAGACACAGACAGATCTTCCATCCACTGGTTCACTCCACAAATGGCCGCAGTGGTCGGAGCTGTGCTGATCTGAAGCTAGGAGCCTCTGCAAGGACTCCCCCATGGGTGCACAGTCACAGCTTTGGGCATCCCAGGTGCCCATGTGGGATGCTGCTGTCACAGATGGTGGCTTTTCCTACTACACCACAACATTGCTGCCCACTTAAAATTTTTTTTTAAGATTTATTTATTTTAATTGGAAAGGCAGATATACAGAGAAGAGGAGAAACAGAGAGGAAAATCTTCCATCCAATGGGGGTCACTCCCCAAGCGCCCGCAACAGCTGGAACTGAGCCAGTCCGAAGCCAAGAGCTGCTTCTGGGTCTCCCACGTAGGTGCAGCATCCCAAAGCCTTGGGCCGTCCTGGACTGTTTTCCCAGGCTACAAGCAGGGGGCTGGATGGGAAGTGGGGCCGCCAGGATTAGAACCAGCGCCCACATGGGATTCTGGTGTGTTCAAGGTGAAGACTTTAACCACTATTCTATCGCACTGGACCCTTAACTTTTTAAATTGAGTGTAATTTTTATAGTGTGAGACATTAATCCTTTGGAAAGCATTGGCTCACTAAATTGTGCAAATGTTGATGCGTTTGCTGATGCAGTATAGAAAAAAATCACATTTCTTCACTAACTTTGTTAGAAAAGTGTCTTAGGTAGTAGTAAGCTGTCAAATTCATAATGGTGTCTTTTTAAAATTAATCATGTTTGAAAGAATTACAGAGAAAGAGAGCTAGAGATATAAAGATCTTTCTTTCATCTGCTGCCAAGCTCCCCAGGTGACAGCAGTCACTGAGGCTGGACCTCTCCAAAGTCAACAGCCAGGGATGTCTTCGTGGTCTCCCATGCAGGTGAAAGGGCCCAAGGACTTAGAATACCCACTACTGCCTTCCCAGGCACAGTAACAAGAAGCTGGATAGAAAAATTGAAAGAGTTTTGTGTGTGTGTGTGTGTGTGTCTCTCTCTCTCTCTCTCTCTCTCACACACACACACACACACACACACAGTCTTTCCATTCACTGGTTTACTCCCCAACTGCTCATAACTGTTCACAGTACCACAATGCCTGCCCTGAGTTGCTTTATGTATAGTTCCAACTTTATCACGTACAGTTTATGAGCAAGCTTCCGAAGGTTCATGGAAATGGCCATGGCTAAAGCCGGGGGATTCTTGCTGGACTGCCACATGGTTGCAGAGACCCAGGGACTTGAGCCGTCCTCCACCGCTTTCTCCGACACGTTAACAGGGAACTGCATGAACAGTAGCTTTACCTACTACATCACTGTACTAACCCCTCAAAATTACAGCTTCTGCCTGAAAACTCATTTTTTCTTAAAAAAAAAAGATTATTTTTATTTGAAAGTCAGATATACAGAGAGGAGAGACAGGAAAATTTTCCATCTACGGATTCACTCTCCAAGTGACTGTAATGGCCAGAGCTGAGCCAATCTGAAGCCAGAAACCAGGAGCCTTTTCCAGGTCTCCCACACAAGTGCAAGTTCTTAAGGCTTTGGGCCGTCCTTGACTGCTTTCCCAGGACACAAGCAGGGAGCTGGATGGAAAGTGGAGCTGCCGGGATTAGAACCAGCGTCCACATGGGATCCCGGCGCATTCAAGGCGAGGATTTTAGCTGCTAGGCCACCATACTGGGCCCCCAAAATAAAAATTTTTTTTTTTTTAAAGATTTATTTTTATTATTTTATTTTATTGGAAAGGCGGATATACAGAGAGGAGAGACAGAGAGGAAGATCTTCCGTCCGATGATTCACTCCCCAAGTGAGCCGCAACGGGCCGATACTATGCCGATCCGAAGCTAGGAGCCTCTTCCGGGTCTCCCACGCGGGTGCAGGGTCCCAAAGCTTTGGGCCGTCCTCAACTGCTTTCCCAGGCCACAGGCAGGGAGCTGGAAGGGAAGCGGGGCTGCCGGGATTAGAACCGGCGCCCATATGTGATCCCGGGCGTGCAAGGCGAGGACTTAACCACTTGCGCCACCGCGCCGGGCCCAAAATAAAAATTTTTAAGGAGAATTTGTACTGGCTTTGTGCAGTTGCTGGCTAAGCTTCTATCTGCAACACTAGTATCCTATGTTGGTGCTGACATGACCTCCAGGTGCTCTACTTCTAAACTGACTTCCTGCTGTTGTGCCTGAGAAAGTAGCAGAGGATGGCCCAAGCTGTTGGGCCCCTGCATCTGCATGGCAGACTTGAAGAGGCTGCTGACTTACACCTAGGCC